GTGGATCAGTTAGAGCGTGGACAAGAACAGAACCGATTTCCGTTTATTTATCTTTGCAATAGGTGAGTTAGCCTTCTTGTTTCTTTATGTTTTATATACCATTTTCTAGCTCGTAAAATTCTCTATCGAATGGTATATAATAGTTGGGGTTTTGTTTGACAATGATAGGAAAATGTTTTTACGAAAGCGGGGATGGATCGATTTTCGCATAGGAAGCCATAGGGAAAAATAAGTATTTTTGCAATAACTTAGGAACGGTTCGGCCAATTCTTCTCATCTTCGAACTCGACCGAGATATTGTTAGGACTGAACTGTGTAGAAAATTTCATCGCGATCGGACTCTCCTTTCAAAAGTTATCGTGTAAACGGCCGGTCGGACATACTGACCGATTCTAGAGTGTACTCGCTTTTTGAGTACCGAATGAATCATCTGATGAATTAAGTACATCAGGTCGTTTAGATAGTACAGATGAATTATTAACTGATATACCACCGGGTTTTGTTTTATCAAAAAAAATTAAAATTTTAACTGGTATGAGTTATACAGAACAAATTTATTTTGATCCAAGTGCAAATACAAAAGAATTATCATGGAAATGTGATGAACACAAGGGGGAAAAGCGGATTCCGGGATCCCCGGATACTCGGGATCCCCACCGGATCCCCTGGATCCCCACCGGATCCCCTGGATCCCCACCGGATCCCCTGGATCCCCACCGGATCCTCTGGATTCTCGGGATCCTCACCGTATCCCGGATACATGTTACGTGAAAATAGAAAGGATACGACAGTGATACAGAAAATTCACGATACACTTTTTCTCTTTGATAAAAACTGGTGGTACGAAAAACACTGAACAGGACAATCAGAAATTCAGTTTTGTGCTCTAGGAGCCAGTCCACATGTGCCACAACTAAACTTGTTTTCAATCAAAGTTGTTGCATCTCTCTGATTTTGAAATATGTTGTAGAAATGAAAGTTTTAAGAATTTAGGCGCAAATTGTTTGAAAAAATATTGTTCCGCGCCCAAAGTATTTAAATATTTCTAAGAACACTATACACAAACACCGCATATTTTGTGGCCTTCTATCGTAGGCATACTCCAGCGAAAATACATCCGGTTGACTGAAGATGCTGAGGTTCTACACCTCTGATCTTGATGTAATAATCGTAAACAGTGATTTGGAATGACCGAACAATGAATGAGTTCATCAGTATGATAAGGTACACGGCAACATGATTATTTTTCGGCATTATGTGAGCATACATATTCCAACAACAAATCCTGTTAGAAAGTTGATATTTTGACTGTAGCGGAATTTCATTGAGCATTTACTGTGAAAAAATTTCAGCTCTCTGAATATTTCAGATCGCTCAGTGAACTTTCCACAGAATTATGATTTTGATTGAAATCACGATTTTGGCAGGGAACGATATCATAAAATACCTGATCGATAGAAGCCGCGTTGGTGTGATTTGAAGTACACACTGAACACTACCAAGCTATGCCAGAATTAGTATGGGATCTCCTAGAATCGGTTTGAGAGACTTATTGAAAGATATTGAAAAATGACCAATCTATCATGGAAAATATACTCGAATTCATTTCGAAATTGATAGAAAAAATTCATCTAGTGAAGTAAAATCTACTCAGTTTAAATCAGCATATAACCATCTATGGATGCTCATAAAAGGTTTTTGAAAGCAACAAAAAAGAACTGTTTTTTGTAAAGTTTCCGTAGCGGAGTACAGAGATTTCAAAAAAAACCTTCGCCAAAAGCCCTAAGGAGGGTATAAAGATTTTTCAAAAACAACTGCCATTTTCAAAGGACTTTTCTATGGGATTCGATAGAAATCCATGTAATTATTTATGTTGGATCGAGTATATTTCTTATGGTGAAAATTTTCTATCAATTTCTAAATGAACTCTACTATATTTTCTATAGAAAATTTGTCAGTTTTGAGTATCTTTCAATAAGGTGTCACGAGCGATTGCACAGGATCCTAAGTCAATTTTTATGTAGCTTTATTACGACAAGAGTGTACTTCAAACGATATCGACCGGAGTTTTATTGATCAGACATTTTCGGAGATCGTAACCCTCCAAAAGCGTGTTTTTAATCCAAATCATCATTTAACGGTCAGTTTCCTAACTAGTAGAAGATCTTTTTATAGCTAGAATTTTACTTCTGTCACATAGTTCGATTGTGAGATATGCATATTCGCGGATCTTCGAAAAATGACCATTTTGTACTGTATCTGGGAGTAATAATACACTCATTGATACTTCCCTCATTTCAATTCACTTTTCTACAATAAGCACACCAACTCGAGATGTATAGATACTAAGCATTTTAAATCAAATGGATTCGTTTTTGCTGAGATATACTTTTCACGCAAAATCTCAAAATATGTGGCTTTTTGGCACTAGCTTTGCCAGAAACATGTAAATGCTCGAGATCGTAACACAACTTTTTTAGAACGTTGTATGTCGTAAATCATAAAACTGTTTCCTTTACATACTTTAAAGTGGATAAAGTCTAACAACTTCCATTAAAAGCAAATTCAATCGTGTTTTATGTGGACTTGCTCATATACTAATTGACTTCGGCATCATATTGTGCACAAATTGGGCTAAGGTTCAACAGGTAGAGTGATTGGGCACTAAATAATGAAAATTTTAATTCTCCTTAGTTTACATCCATTACATTCAATAAAGCAATGTATTCAATGTTGAAATAAGTGGCAAAACAAATTGCAAACTCTTTGAAATCGATAAAAATTCTTCATCAACTCTGCCTCACTCTAGCTGCATCATATTTAGGGTGGAAAGCTCACGTTCATAAGTGCTGCGGATATAAGCGTGTGTATTTATTTTGGACCATTCAAGGGCTGTCCTAGGGGGTACCCGTAACCTATAATGGGCTAAATGGTGGGGATGGTATGATGGGAAAAGGCCGAAAGAAAAAATATCGAAAGGGAAAATGTCGAAAATAGAGGCGCCACAAAACATGTAAGCCATGCGGTAACATGTGGAAAGTGGCGCCTCTACTTTCGACATTTTTCCTTTCGATATTTTTCCTTTCGGTCTTTTCCATCCATTCGTGGGGACATCCATAACTCTTTATGGTCTATATAACAGGATGCCTGTAAATCATCATAAGCTGTGTAAAGCTAGTCTCCATTACTCATATGGATCAATACAAAGTTGTTCTCGTACCCTTTTGAGTGCTTGGTACTGGTGATTCTTGTTGCTGAGGAAGATCTTTTTCGGAGTAGTACCCATATTTATTGGTAGTTTGTACCACATTGACCCCCAGTAACTCTTTTGTGTCTGTCCCCTTAGTTGTCCTGATATTGTTCGGATGGCTTTCTGTGTAGATCCCGAAAACTTGTTAATGGATTTCTGTGTTTTATTAAAATATCTCTGCAAGCGTCATATCAGTAGGACACTGATGATTTGTTGCGCGCTTACATCATTGTAGTCTTGTACGGTTTTTCTCGCTTCAATGATTCATAAGATATCTAACTTTCACATGATGAGTTCTTATGTTGGCGTTTATGAACTGTGATGAAGTTTCTACAATCACTGAGAAAAGTGTTGTCTTTCTTATGATTATCTCAGCGACCAATGCAAGGTCATTGCATTATATCGTTGCCAACATTCAGAATACTTTTTATGATTATCGCGTAGGCTAGCGAAACGTTTACGCTTGATGGAACACATCATGTAGCCCATGGTTACTTATATACACTTAATCTCTATACGTTGATTCTCATAGAGATCTTCTTATGACACCAGGAGTTTTGCATTGTGTTACCGGAAAGGACTGCCGCTGTTCATGTGAGTGACGCTGTAAGTGTACTCGTGATATACATGTGCACGAAGACATCGATCATTATTTACTGTTATAGAGGTCATTCCCCATGCTCCCGTTATCAATTCATCATCTTAATCGTCTTCTGTTCGTTATCTATCAAATGATGAACCAACTTCGACTAATCTCTTTGTACTACAAATGGCTAGATCATGATCATCTATCTACTGTCGTCGTAAATCAGGCGCCATTCTATATGTTCATGCAGCAACAACTACGTATCCGCACTTTTCTTGTTTTTGTATTCCTGTTCTCGTAGTTTTACATGTGGACCCCTCTTCAAGTAAAACTTTTTAATCAGCACTAACATTTACTAAGACCAAGTACGGCGATATTTTGAATCGAATAATAATCAGCTACTAATTAAACACACGTGGTTCTACAACTTATGTCAACAACAACCATTGGACAACACGCTATAGTCGTTGACAAAATCTGGTTAAGACGTGGCAAATAGCCTTCTTCAGTTATAACAAGAGAAGATCAATTTTGTGAATATATGGTGTCTATCCCCAAGAGTCCCTTAAACAGGTAGGACCCCCACGCCCAGATATACAATAAAGAGTATAAGGTCCAACCATGCATACGCCATGAGCAAAGGTGTAGACTACCGATACATACTACTTGCGTAGCCATGGGCATCCATTTTCATAGCTCATGAACAGTTACCGGTACCTCTGTTACATAGACACGAATGGTCATGAGTACTCACGCTATATGGTCCACGAACGGTTATGGCTACTCCCGTTACTTAGTCCACGAACAGTTATTGGTACCCCTGTTATATGACTCATGAACAGATATGAGTACCCCCTTCATATCGACCACAAACAGTTATGAGTACCCCCGTTATATGGGCCATGAACAGATATGGGTACCCCCTATATGACTCATGAGCAGATATGAGTACCCCCCTTATATAGACCACAAACAGTTATGGGCACCCACGCTACATAGCCAGTGAACAATTACGGGCACCCCCATTGGACAGGCAACGATCAATTATAGTTACCCCTGTTATAAAGCTGATGAAGAGTTACGGATACCTACTATGATAGCCTATGAGTAATACAGAGAAGATGCTCACGCTCATATGAGCGCCTCACAAGCGCGAGCGGTAGATCCGCTGACGCTCATGAGCATGAACTGTACAGCCCTAATCATGTTCATCGTATATATTATGTATTTTTTTCAATTGCACAACTCATATCCGCAGTATTTTCAATGTATCATGTGAATCCTCACCGGATCCTATGGATCCCATGGATCCCCACTGGATCCGGGATACACAGGATCCGCTTTTCCACCCTTGGATGAACAACTTGTTTTTACTTATGAATAACATGCTTTTAATGTAAGTTTTGAATGAAAATTTGATTAAGTTGAGAAAAAAAAGAAATAAGAAAAACCTGATTTTTCTATTTTATCTTTATTTTAGTATACAATAAATTTACATGGTGAAGTTCATTATCCAAATTTATTAATTGAGCATAATGATTTAGATTTTGGTTGTGTTCTTAATGGAACAGAAGTAACACGTTATGTAACAATGGTTAGTGTAAGTCCATTACCCGTTAAATATTTATGGGTATTTATACTTGATGAAAATGAAAGAAATTTTTCATTTGAACCTCAACCACAAACAAGTATTACATTTCCACAATTAAATCAAACACAAATTCAAAGTGGACCATGGTCAGAAAATAATGAACAACCAACAACATATGATAATACAAATTTAACACCAAAACTCGAAGAAATATTTGATATTTCATCATTTTTTGGAACACTTCAATCAGGGTAAATTTAATAAAAAAAAGCAAAAACAGACATAAACAAAATGTTTTTTCTTTATTTAGTGAAATTGAAAAATCAGCAATTCGTTTCTATGGTCATCTAGGTATAAAAGCAGCTGTTAAAGCTGTATGTCAAGTTGAAAATGGTCCTGTTTATGAATTATATCTTCATGGTCAAGCATCATATATGGCATATCGTTTAAATACACATGAACTTGATTTTGGTGATGTACATTATGATAAAACGGCCACACGTACATTAACATTAACAAATGTTGGTTCAGTACCATTAGATTATCATTTTTTAAATATGAATAATTTAAATGATAATACTCAACAGCAACAACAACAACAACCAAATGCACAAATTAATGTTGAACTTGAATCTGGTATATGTGTATCATTTAGATCAACAATAATAACAATAAAATTTCTTCCAAATATACCTGAATTATTTGAAAAAATTATTTATTTACAAGTATCACATTTTCAACCAGATGAAATACGTTTAATTGGTATTGGTATATTTTCACGTTTAGAATTAAACTTACCACGTTATATTATGGATAATAGTATAGAAAAAAACATTTTATGAACAAATTAAAAATAATACAAATGAAAATAATTTACAATGTCAATTAGATACATTTGTTATTAAAACATTTATACAAAATTCAAATGAAATGACACAATCAAATGAATCAATTGATCAACAAAAACAATCTATACATTTAAGTAATACATCATTAACACCATCAACAGTATCAAGTATAACAAAACCAAGTCTTAATAATAAATTAATACCAATTATACCTGATTATGTTGTGGATTTTGATTATATTATATTGGATACTGTTAGACAACAAATTATACATATAAGAAATCCAATTAGTAATGCTATTAGTTTTTATTTTGATCGTATATCTTATAGAAATACAGGATTTTCATTTGATTGTGATCAAGTTAAAAATTTACCACTCGGTGAATCAATTACAATAACAATTACATTTGATCCACGTGAAGCCAATCTTGGACTTGGTCCAGTTGAATGTCGAGTACCAGTTGAGGTAAGATAAATAACAAAAATCAATTTATCATGTAAAATAATTTGATCTATGTTGGACATGGGGTTTGAAATTAACCTTCACAGATTGACTAATCATACTCAAAAAAAAAGATAATTTAATATGTCTGGAAGTCTTAATATTTATTTTTAATTCAAAGAACTTAAGCATAGATTCATATTCATAGAAATGTATTAAACGATCTTCTAAAAAGTTTATCTTTTATTTCAATCAAAGATCTCGATAACGAAAAAGATTTAGTGAGTTAGTTCATTGTAAACTTTTCACATCGTGTTTACGAAAATGTTGAATATTTGCCTTAAAACTACCTACTCAATTATATATCAGGCAGCTTCTACTTATTTTGGTCTCTTCCACTTATATGAACTGAAATATTTTCTCAAATTGATTTAATATACTTTAAATTTAAGCCCGTTTAAGAAGCTGAACTAATCATTAATTAGTTTTGTGTTCGACGAATTCTTTCACACTGTAAAAAATTTGAACAGACATGTATTCAAAAATTTTTCAGGAATACCACTGACTGTTTTTTGGTCAGTAAAATTTTATTGACTCATACCTGCTCTACGAGTACTTGTAGTAGTTTTTAGAGCGGAGGAGGTCGCTCTTACCATTTCATCTTTCTGTGTACGGACTTAGACTTGAGAGTTCTCCTATGAACTGATTAGAGTCCTGCGTTGGGTCGGGTTTCAAAACCCGACAGGTTCATTACTCAGCACAGGAGCTTCGGATGGCATCATCAATCCTTGGTTCAATGTGTGTGTTAGTCACATGCACTGAATCAATAGTGTAGATAACCATTCCAAACTATCATGTCTAAAGATGGGAGTTGTCGAGATTTAAAACCCGATCCCGTGCAGGACTCTACTTCGGTGAATCTCAGGAATATTTATCTGAACATGAAACATATTGACTATAGCGGTCGATCAGTACTACGAAATGAATAATCATTTTTATAAAATTAGAAAACATTACTAAAATTTTAATATAATCGTTTTCTTTTTTTTGCTGATAAAATCAATGAAATTTTCTCTATTTAATTGTTTTAGAAACACCATTTCCAATTGATAGTATTGATCAATCAACTGGTGGTGATATAACATCAACAGCTCAACAACCGACAAGTGGTATTGAACGAAGTGGTAATAGAGGAACTGTAAATTCTGCAGCTGAAGTACCTGAATCCATTGGTGAAAAAAGTGAATCAACATTAAAACATGTTGCAGAAAAAATTATTAATTATGATATGACTCCTGTAGCACAAGCATTAGCTCATCATTTAGGTATTGATTTAACACCAGATGGAATACAAGCACGTAATAGACGTGGTATTGCGATTATTGTTTATGGTCCACCTGGTTCAGGTAAAAATTAAAACCTTGAAATATTCTGACTGTTTTATTTTTGTTTTTATAGGAAAAACAATGATATCACGTGAACTTAATCAACGTTATGAATGTGCATTATTAAGTCTTGATCAAGTTATTATTGATGCTATTGATAGTTTACAACGAAGTGAATATGCACAACGTGCTTATAATGTGTCGTGATGCATATGAAAAACATGTTGAAGAACAACGACAAGCAGAAATGGACGCTGATCATGCTCAACCTACTGCTCAACCAAGTAAAATAGAATAAGAATAAACATAGCTTTTTTGTTTTTCAAAAAAACTGAGAATAATAAAAACAAATTTAAAGAAAAAAATATATTTAAATTACTATCTACAATAGTAAGCAAAAATCGTCGTCGTCCTTCTGTTTTCTCCAATGATCGAGCAGCTGATATTAAAACCATATCAACCATGGGTATATCAACTTTAACTAGTATTTTCTTCGCTCTTAGATAAATTCATAGTTCCTTTGCTCTTGTCATTTGATTTTTTGTTTTTTTTTCTTTTGAAATATTTTTCATAATGAATTTTCTTATTTTATAGGTGTACATGTTAAAAAACCTACAGATAAGAAGAAAAAAAGTGCTGAAACAATTGATCAAAATCCACAAGATCCAACCGTTGAAGCACAACCACTTACTTCTCCTGTATCAGTTAAATTTAAAATACATAAAAATCCAACTGGCATTACAAATAATGATTTACCTGATTCACTTAGAGAAACAGAAGATAGTCCATCTGCTGAAAATGATCAAGAAGAACTTATGACATATGTACTTACAGAAGATATTTTTGTTGAAATACTTTCTGCTCGACTTCAAGTAAGAGAATTTAAAAAAAACGAAGAAAACTTGATTTTCAATCTCGGATATTGTTACATTCGAATAAATACAAACAATTACTGAGGATTAGAAGAAGTCTCTTCATGAAAAAAAGACTTGTTCATTCGGATAAATTTTTCGATATAGTGCAATTTAACTTCATAACATGTTCTGACCTTTGCCCTCTTGTTGTCTTTTTCTACACGGTGACTTGTATAATTTATACACTAGTAAACAGGACGAACAATTCGATATTAATTCGTTACTGTTGCGGCTGTTTTTAAAATATTTTAACTTTTCATTATTTAAGATTTTAGTATCAATATTTATTAAATCAAAAGTTTCTCATTATAACAATTGTTAGGTAAACTATCGAGAACATTAATATTGATCGAATACTATCATTCTAAAATATTTTGATAGTCGAAAAAGAAATATTCTTTTCAATTATTAATGATTCGTACATCGACGTTAGTATATCGTCAAAATGCCTATTCTATCAATTTTCTAGATTACTTCAACGTACGATATTGATCACAAAAATCTGCTAAAGAGAATTGACGAGCAAACAAAATTATACAGTTCTTGATCAATATACAGTATACGATAGTAGATAGTACAATATATTTACTATCGTAATATACTTTAGTATTATAGTAAATCATAATATTTTATACAAATATGTATTTATTGATATTTTTGATATTTTTTTCCGTATTTATTTCTCTTCATATTAACGTTAATACAATTTCTAACAATGAAATCTATTATCCTTCATTATGGCACACTGTTCCATCATCATTAACTGAATATCCATTAGAAAACGATTCATCTTCTCAATATCGATTAACTGATCCATGGTTTTATCCACATAGACTTGGCTTATATAAAATTCTAATTAGTAGTACCACACCATTGATGCCATTTTGTTCATCATCAAATGCATCCAATATTCTTTTTGCTCTTCCATCTCAATTTGGTTGGCAATTTGATTCTAATCGATTATTTACTAATGGTACATAAAATATGTCATTAGATAGTTGGTGAGCAGCAGCTAATTATTATTTATCAGTCATACCATTTCTTGCTGCTATGGATGTTGGTATTATTCCTCACGAATCATTTCGTATCATTCAATATGAAAATTTTTGTTCGAATTCAATTGAATGTTTACATCAAGTACCAAAAGCTATGAAACAATGGCAAAAATTTTTTACTCATCTTCAACAAATTACATGAAAATAATGATGATACAATTATTGATAACAGAGTTATTGATAATCTTTATTTAAGACCAATGTGGTTAGCATATAAAACTTCGATTAAAGCTGCTTTATCCTTAGTTAAATCGAAAAAAGTCTTATTACCATCAAATCTTGAAAGATTATTTTGTTATGGTTGAGCACGAGTACTTCATTTAATTGCAATGACAAGAAAAAATACAAATTTATATGAAACAATTAAAAATCAACATTCATTTCTTCCACGTCGAATGTTATTAGATAGTGATCCACTAACACAATTCAATGATTTACCAGAATCAGTTAAAAAAACATTAGAATTTCTTATTTCATTTCACTTTGATTAGTTATCTTATATTGAGAAAATTTGGGAAAAACTTACATGTAATTATGAAGCACGAATCTATGCTCAACATACGTCAGAATCTATGGCAAAGTCCAAATTTCTTTCTGTGAAATATTTAAGTCTAACTATAATAAATATGCATTTTTATTTCGATGTGATGATTCGTTTAAATATGATCTTTAAACAAATTTCGTTTAAAACATTGCATTGAATAGAAAAACTTTGTTTTTTAGCATATATATATATATGCATAAGTTCTTTTCGAAATAAAGAGATAAAGAAAAGACTTTTTTTATTTGACTTCATACTTGTGCTTTTTATCTAAGAGATAAACACTTATATTTTCGTATTCATTTTTGTTTCTTTTCATCAACTAGCATGGAGAATAGCACTGAGTTATATGCTTGGCTCGATGAATATTCTTTATCGCATAAAAACTCAACTAATATTATGATACATAAAATTTGTGTGCCAACAATTGCTTTTACAGTATTAGGATTTCTTTGGTCAATACCTTTACCAAAATTTGTTCGTCAAAATTTTGGAAATCTCTTTAGTCATTTTATTCCAATGCTTGCTATTGGACCTATATTAACATTTTATTTTCGTTTATCAACAAAAATGGCTGTAACAATGTTAGTGATTGTTTTATGTGAATTGGCTCTTTTAGCTAAAATGCAACAAAAACGAATACGAATATTTCGATTATCATTGGCAATATTTATTTTGGCTTGGATTGGGCAATTTATTGGACATGGTATAGAAGGAAAAAAACCTTCATTTTTGGAAGATTTACAATTTTTGGCTGTTGGACCACTTTGGACATTGGCTAGTGCTTTTCGTGTTTTAAATATTGAATATTAATTTATCTTATATTAATCAATAGACGCTCATATTTATATTTTAAAAATGATTCACAATTTTTCTTTCTTTCTTTTCTTTAATATAAATCATTAAAAAAAGAACGGGGAAAATAAAACAGATATCATCGTTTTCTATAAAATAAAATTCTATTCTTCATTCGTAACAGGTTTTTTTCGGTTTTGATTTTGTTGTTGATGTTGTTTTTTATTATTATGATTGTTTATTAAGGCTTCTTTAATAAATAATTTTTGATCCGAATTTAAGGCATTTGGATATTCAACATCAAATTCAATAATCATATCACCATATTTATCTGGATTAGACATTAATGGCATACCTTGCCCTGGTATACGTTTTTTATATCCCGGTCTAAAAAATAACCCAAATAAATCATTTTGTTTTGATAATCGAAAAAAATTAAGCCAAGTTTTTTTTCTTACTTAACGATTTCATTAATAGGAACGTCTAGTTTTCTTCCATCGAGATGTTCAATATGTAATGTTGTACCTGTTAATGCCTGTCCTAAATTTATTTTAGCTGTATAAATAAGATCAGCATTTTCACGACGAAAATGTGAATGTGGTTTATCTTTTACAGTAAATATAAGATCCGATGGAACATTATTTGGACCTTGATCACCTTCACCTTCAAATGTTACTTTTGTACCTGGTAACCAACCACGTTTAACAGTTATTGAAAGAATTTTTTCACGAATACTTGATGTGATACCATCATCATTCAGTACCTAAAGGAAAGAAAAAAAAATGTCAACAAGTTTAAAATGTCAACGCAACTTTTATTATAATGACTACATCTTTTGATGAAAACAATTAGTTAAAGTATGTACAGGAAAGAACGAATAGAAAATATTTTAAACTTTATCAAGTTTTAACTCAAGAATGCAGGCAACACGAAGAGTATTTAGATCGATTTTTTTTCGAAATCTGAAGACGGATGTGAATGGAGCAATTTTCGTTAATTTTACTGTATCATGGTACTCTCTAGAAAAATGAACCATTCGTTCCTCGATAAGAATTTTTATGACAATATCAACTGGATTCAAATTTATAGCATTAACTTATTGTTTATAAGTAAATTTTCTTATAACGAGTAAACCATAGATTCGACAAAAGTATACTAGAACATCTAATTCTAAACTTCCAATTTAAAAATGTGATCGAATAATATTGCACTTCTTCAAAATGTTCAATTTTCGAGAGTTTTTTTTCTATTATAACACAAAGGTAAAAGATGTCAGAGAAAATTTTCAGAACAATAAACAGAATTCTTTCTCGTGATATACAGTGTTATGAACACTTGGTGTAATATGCCAGTCATTTCTATTCGAACCTTAAAAGTATAAAATCAAAGAATTAAGTTTTTTCAAAAAAACTTTTACGAATGTGAATGTCTCAAAATCATGATTTTGTATATTTTCAAAAACAGTATTCCTTTCCAGAATGACGGACGTTCATGTGAAAATTATTTAAACATAGCTGAAAGATAGAGATTTTTGTATACTACAAAATACCTAAGTAATTTCTTTGAAAGGTCAAAGTCTCCAGTTGTTTACATAAGAAGTTTAGATCAAACATTCTAATGGAACTTCATAAAGAATTCAAAGAGAAATCATTCGAGACGAAGCTCAAATTTCTATATTGAAAGTTAACCAACAACGAATACGAAATTCAAATGGTACCTTTATTTATATCCAATCTATAATATTGTATGAATCTCACAAAATTAAATATTTTCTGATTGAAAAATGAAAAACTTCATGTTGAAACGATCAAATAAACAATTCTACTTCCCAGAAATATCAAAGAAACAAAATCAACTAAGAAAACATCACCTCTTCTGATGACATGTACTAGTGAAATCTATGCTGATAGGTATTTTTAATAGAGCACACAGGTGAAACGATAATCACAAATTCATTAGTTTGATAGAAAAAAACTTTCTACGTCGATCTTTTAGAGGAAAACCGTATATATATATAGAGGTCAAGAATTCTTACTCGTCGACTAATTTTAATTTTTTTAACAGCACCATGATAACAATCTTCAAGTGAAAGTAAAAGGTCACGTATTATAGGCGGATCTTGTTTTTTTCGACCACGACCATCTAATCCACCAAAGCCTAAATTTCTATCTTGATCGGCACTGGCATAAAATTCTGTAAATAATTCAATTTATTTAATTATAAATGAAGAACGAGTTCGAAATGTTGACTCAATTTGTATAATCAATTGTTTTAAAACAAAACACATGTTTGTAAATTTCTCTCTATAATAAAATGATGCAGTAAAACATACTCTACAAAATGATAATTAATTGATGTCACTAACTTATCTATAAAGAAAAGTTATAAGCTTATAAATATGCTTCACAAAAACTAAAAATTCATCGTGATCTTTCACGAATAAAAAAAAGTTAGTAGACTGAATTCAATTAGAGCTTTCGTACTGAGTTCAGTTGCCAAGTCATTTTTAGCTCATTAAAACCGTCGATGTGTGACTAATTGAAAATATACCGGGAGAATTATGAACAAAAAATCAGAAGAAAAAACAATTGAAACTCGTTCTCTATTAGTTCGATTTATTAGATCAGACTGGAGAAAAATTACATCTAAACACTATGAAACAATGACAGAAAATAATACCAAAACATCTGACAAAGAGGATACAAGTTAATGAAAATCAAGTTTATGAATATTGATTTTGATTGTAATATCCATGATAAAGAATTCTTATTTTAATTAAAACAACATTTTTGAAATAAAGAAGCATTTTTATGTGTTCCAAAGAGTCGTGGTTAATTTTTATTTTTTGCTGAAGCATATTTCTAGACTTATTAATTTCCTACCAGATGAGCTAGCGAGATGAATCAATAATCATTTTGTAGAGCATTTTTTTTTTGCTATAGCGAGAAATTTACAAACACATGTTTCACTCTAGATAAATTGATTATACAAATTGAGTCAGTACTTCTGGTACACCCTTTATGCACATATATATTTTTCTTTCTTTCAAAATTACCTGCAAATGGATTATCACCACCGAAAAAGTCTCGAAAAACTTTATCAGCATCACCATGAAATACATAACCTTCATTCCATTCATTTGCTGGTCCTATTGGTACACCATTCTTTAAACCTTCATCACCATATTGATCATAAATAGCTCGTTTTTTATCTTAATAAAATAAAGAGAAATATTTCTTGTAAATATAAATATAAACGTACGATCACTTAATACATCAAAAGCTTCAGCAAGATCCTTAAACTTATTAAAAGCATTATGATCATTAGCATTTTTAACTGGATGAAATTTCAGTGCTAATCGACGATATCTATGTAACCAATAAAACAAAAAAAACTATTCAAATCAATTGATGAAATATTTGATTTTTACATACGCTGATTTTATATCATTATCTTTTGCACTTCGAGTTAATTGAAGAATTTGATAATAATCTTTTCCCATTCTAGAAAATACAAAAGAATCTTTGTTGAATTTTAACTCATTTTTTCTTAATGTTGATTGAAAATAACCTATGTGTTGCCTTGTGTAACTAGATGAAGAATGTAACAGTCGATTTTGTCTTACCATCCATATTAACTTTTGCATAGCGACGACTCTCATGTGATTTTAACTGAAAGCGACATCTTAGATTTTATTGTACATGAAACAATAATTAGAATATTTTTTTCTTATTAATCAAATATTATTAAATGTATAAAAACGAAGGAAAAAAATAATATGACAACTCATTTGAAGATTTAAAATATCTTGAAAACGATGATGCTAGAACTAGAAAATCGTCTATTCAATGCAAAGAACATCTCTTGATTTTAAACTCTAGTTTAAGTTTCAAAACTTAAAGTCTTTTACCATCAACACGGCATAAAAAAGAGTGTTCTTCATAAACACGTTATTTCAAATTTTAATCTAAGAGATTTATAGAAGCAACATATTTTATCATTTGATGAAGATCCAATCATTACTAAGATACAGTGTTTAAGTTGAACAATACATCTAAAATATTATCATAAAACAGATTTTGATTTGAATATGCATGAAATAGTGAAACGAAACAATTGTGAACTTTGTTTTTTTTTCCTAGTAATATATGAAGTTCTGTTAAAGACAAAATTTTGCTCTGAATCGAGCAGAATAAATGATAAAAATTCTTTTTAGATTAATTATTCTCTGTTGCTTCCAAATAGAAAGATTACCTTATTGCAAAACTTTGACTTCAAGATAGCGCAACAGTTCAAGTGAAGTATTGTTAAAACTGTGCATTATTCTATGCTCTACAAAAATAAGTCTGTTGTTCAAGGTATTTGCTTGTTTTGACTTCGGAATTATCCATGTGCTTAAACAGATATCTAAACTGTGTATAAAAAAAGTCTTTGCACAACATGTTTGGTAAATTTTCGTCGATTCATAAGACCTTAGAGAAGACGAAATTAATTAGCTAGAATCAAAAGATCATATCGATTTTCTCTGTCAAATGGCTATTTTAAATGTTAACATGTAATGTGAAAGCTTCGAAGGGCATCATTTTCAAAATAATCAATGAGAACTAATCAACGCTGATAATTACTTGACTATTTAGTTTTTACTTAAATTGATAAAGCTATCTGTTCTCTTTCGAATTCTAAAAAACCGCAAATCGCTAGATACTTCTGCACTTGAGTTATTTGTGATACAACAAAGTCATTGACTTTTTGAATGGGTAGCCGTTGCAAAAAAATCTAATTATTTCGTCATTGTGCTTTATTCAAGATCGTTTACGTGTAACAAAATACAGATATGCACTCAATGGACAAAACAAGACACATATGTACAAGGAAAAAGGGATAGAATTTAAATACAATCTAACGATAATACTTTTTCTTGTTGATTTGGAGCTGAAAAACTCGTCAAAACCACAGCCAACTTTTGTCCCATTCTTTTATTTTCTGCAAATATAAGTTGAAGGACTGTTTAATCATTATCAAAATTCATTGATAGTTTTGACAGAATTTTATTAATATTAACATTTGATGGACCAACTGATTGAAACGTCCGATCAATCTTAAAAACAAAAAAATTGAAATAGAATATGCAATTGAGTCATAAACTCAAAAGTTGACATATTTATTTAATCTCTCGCTTAAAGATAAAAAGGCATAAATATCTATTTTATAATTTGAAAATCTACTTCAGCATGTTGGCAATATACTTGGAAAACTTATAATATTTGGACGTCTAATTAACATATTGCTACAGTTTACTTCGACGTCTTTAAGACATTGTAAACATTCATTCGTAGTTGAATTATGTCTTTATTCATTGCCTCTCTCTCAGTAATGATGATCAAACAAATTACGACAAAAGATAGACAATACAGCAAAAGTAATATTTCTATCGATCGGATGCGGTAGGAGTTAATTATTGATAAAATCGACCTAAACAATATATAAAAAGCGAAAATACATGTTTGGTAGATTGTTCTGTTCCATCAGGTACATAATCAATCTGCAAAAAAAAAACAAATCCAAGTAAGAACTACTCTCTTCTTTTATCTAGGACATAATCAATAATTGAAGATCGCATTTTCTATGATCCAGAATTTTCTGTTAGTTATCCACTTTGAAATCGACTGTAACAGAGTATGGGTATAAACATTTTCCAATATGTATTTAATTGTAGGAAAGAAAGGTAAATTTTATTATACTATTTCTTGTTGCTATATTACAGGCACTATCGTACAGATGAACATGATCATCAATTCTACGAACGATATGTATATGTTGTCGATTGAATGTAACATCTAGTCGTTGTATAATTGTCATAGTTTTCTTACGAATAGTTTCTATTTGAATGTGTATCATATTCATATATAATTGTGTATCCATTTGTCCACCCCACCAATCAGACAATAATAAGACTTTTCTTATTATCCATTGTTGGTTTCAATACTTGTTAAATATAATATTGAACAAGCAAACGTTGACAGTTCTTCAGACTTACTACATGTGACAACAATGTTTGATACTGCAAATAAATTTCCCTTAATGTTATTCCTCATGTGACCTCTTGATTCTGTTAAGCATAGGATACATGAATCAATCAGTTATTCAGATAATGTAATGATAAATTGCACAGTGCAACTATGTGATGTATTGTTAATAAGTCGAACTTTCTTTCGTAAAGTAGTTTTTTTAGCCCTGAAAGATATAGTACAATTGCTCACCATCTCATTTTCATGACCACTTTGATGGGTGTTTAGAAAATGATTTTGTTGATAGTGATGAAGAAGTCTTTGTATTTTATTTACGAAGCTGCTTGCACATTCGTCCAGAGTAGTTGGATCTATTATTTTATGTTGTATTATAAGTTTTGCTACTTTTTGACTACAAAAAGAATATCAGCGTTTCAAGCGAAGAACTCAATTATACCTTGCACTGGAAGTATTATCATTTCGGTCTTTAGCCTTTCGTCAAGCTTATCTTTGCAAAAGAACATCATGCATCAAAAGAAATTCAAAACGTGCTTTTTCAAATTTTTCATGTGTATACTGATCAATTTCGTTTAGTTTTTCATGTTTCGTCCCTCCATTGTTGAAATACTTATGCAACTGTTCTCTATACATACGATTTTTTCATTTTTAGAAATCGATGTTGAGATAGGTTCTAAGAATGTTTTCTTTATCTGTTTTTCCATTTTTCTTGTCATAGAAATCAACAGCTTTCTTCATATATTGAATAGAAAATTGGTCGGAAAAGCTATTCTGCTGATCCTCGCCTATTTGCAATACTAATGGGTCCACTTGTTCGTCTTCAAACTGTTGGTGGTTATCATTGTAGCTGAAATCAATAGTTTGTTCAATTTCGACAGAGTAATGTGTACTTTGAAGAATGGATTCGATGTAATCACATAAATATTTAGCAGCGTCTTCATCATGTGCACTGTATGTAGCACTATAATGATGTGAGAATAAATTTGTAGATATTAAATCAGTGAGAAGTTCTGCAAGATGATAGGACTCTATCGTGGTCTATTCACTATATATCAAAGTAGAAATAAAAGAAAATAAAATAATAGTGGTAAACACGTTTTTCCCAAATTTTTACGATATAGAACACTTATATGAAAAAGTCTTTCTTTGTTTAAAAAACATCAAACGCAAAATTTTGAAAAACTGATTACGGATTCGAATTCCTTGACTCTGATTACCTGTGGTCAAACTATAAAAAAATTTATTTTTACGCTTACACGTGAATGTACACGTGACTGCAATCAAACATACAAACGCATTTTATTTCATATGATGTTTCCTTTAGTCGAGGGAATGAAGAATTTTCGATATTAGTTTGTGATGCTACAGAAGTTAGTGTAATTAATAATTTAACAGAAGTTAATATCATGTTGGTTCATTCCGATGATGACATATCATTGAATAAATTAGAATATCGTGAACAAGGCAAGAATGAAATATCAGCAGGTGTCAATTTATTCTTCTATGCATCAAATAGACTAAATTATGGTTTAATTAGAGAAACTGAAGTGTTTCAGTTGAAAATAAACGGTCCGGAAGCACTTTTTAACATGTTTATCGCTGGCACTGGAACAAAAACAGTTTATATGCTTCAAAGATTCTATGAAACCAAGGAATAAGAGGGTGTTTATGGCTGAGCACACTGTGCTTATATTGCATCATATTTATGTGCTAATTGATTTCAACTTCAGTATTTAGCATATAAGTCCGATTTTATGGAAAAGTCTACATAGAGTAAGTGTTTTACTAAGTTTTGACTTTTATTGTGAAAAAAAGTAAACAAGACAGTGACGTCGGCACTACAACACAAAACTGAATCTTTTTTTTTTATAGGTCTTGCATTACGAAAAACTTTTCATGAAGAAAAGAGAAAGGCAAAATGTCACGATAACATGAACTTATTCTATTACTTTGAATAATAATGACATTCAAACAAGTGCTATTCCTCATACAAACGCTAATGGCAAAGAAATTTCTTCCATCAAACTATATTACAAACATTACTTAATGATTGGTGGAAACCATTCGATTCTGGCGAACATCACATTAAGTCAATCCATCGTAAAGCGATTAATATGCTATCAAAGTCCAAATACTCTATGATAATTATTCGTATTATTTTTCAAGTCATGAATAACAACCTAAATACAATTGATCAACAACAAGATAATCGGTCAGCATACAATCTAACTTATATTGATACAACGTTTCGATATGCTATTCAAACATCCATCAAGCATTATTTATCAACTGAATGTCAACAAAAATCAAAGTAAAAATGGATAATATGGTTAAATAAGAATGATGTTCTTGTTGGTTGCAATTAGTATTTGCGTGAAATGTTAGTTGTTGCAGCACGTCATACAATCAAATCATAACCTGATATCTTTACTCAAAGAATAGAAAAAAAACTCGACTGAACAGTAAGTCTGCGTTCTTCATAACGAATAAAGTTAAAGTTTATATTCATGCTACTGCTTAGCATTTTTATACAAATAGGGTTGATTTAAATATGAGAACTTCTTAATACAGAGATATAAATGTTCGTTCTTTCAAAGTCTTCAGACTTTATAAATAAATCGGCAATACAATAACTATCTTATTCAATGTTTTTTTAGATATCAAGACAAAATAAAACTGGAAAAAGAAATGATCAAAGCAGTGAACTTTTCTGTGGTTTTTACAAGAGTGGACTTAACAGATCATAAGAAAGGTGAAGGCTCTCGTTAGTTTTCACTTTCATATGATTTAAAGCCTGATCAAATTCTTTCTTCAATAATTGAACACGGAGTAGTTATCGTGGAAACTTCATAAACAGTGCACCTAGTATAATGAAAACTTAAAGCATTCGACATTTTTCTGTAAGCAATCACCTAAAGTAGTTTTAAAAAATACATGAATAAAACAAGCATTCGAAGTAAATATTATTCTATTCTTTTACATCTATTAGCAGATCGTTTACTTTGCATGGAAGTAGAGTTATGCATAAAGTCTACCTGATGAATTCAATATACTCTGTTCTACGTAGAATAGTTGAAATGTCTCTAATGTGCTATTGACTCGGTGCGTTTGATCAACACACACATTGAAGCAATGACTGTAGCTATCGTGCTTGGAGATAATTTTTTCAGATCTATCTATCTATTTCAATAAAGAGCACAACATGAGCACCATAATCAATAGTATGTTTTTCTCATCATTTATTGACGAAGTCGTCAATAGAGTGTATCAGAGTTTGGAATGGATATGAAATTTGTATACCACAAATATTTGTACATGTTCTCTTCTAGCTGTCATATCATAAAAGAATTAATTGAGCAAAATATCGGCTTAAACATTAAAATTAAATGAATGTATGTCATTCTGTTCAAATAACCTTGTCATCAGCATAAAGTAAAACACTCTTGAATTGACTATGGGTAGCTGCTTTAATAGAAGTGCGCATTTGTTTATATTAAGTGTAAGCAACAAATCTAATTACATAAATAAAATGAAAATAAAAACATGACTTATGTTTTTATTGAATCAAAAAGTGAGATTAACAATTGAAAGATTTACTCTTGGACACACAAAAATTCACGTTAGTTTATTTTAAGTCATTAATTACTTTTTCAACTTACTCCGACAAAAATTCTTATATATTAAAAATAAAAAATAACTGTACAGGTATGGTAGTACCAGTTGATAATGAAATAATATTCTGTGCAGTTCAATATCTACCTCATCAATTCAATGAAAATAAGAATATCAAATTTTTGATGAACAACTTTAGTAAGTAATGCTAAACAATCTTTTTGTACCTGATAGAAATCATCTTTTCACAACAAATAGCAATTACTGTATGCAATAGAATATTAATATTTATTTCAGGAATATGTTTAAAATACTATAAGAAATAAATTTGTTGACCCTTCAGTGACTGCACAATTTGTCAAGGGTAGATAATTGAGAGTGGACGTAGGTACGTGGCTGAAGATGTCTGTGAGAAGATACAAAATATGCATACTCACACTGATATCCACATTCATACATCCGTGACAAATTGTCCCAGTACTCGATTCTTCTTCATTCGATAACATATTATGCTGACAGGTTTTAAGATTATTGTACGATTTTTCAACTGTTTATATAAATTAATCCTTTGAAGAATGACTTTTTTCAATCCAAAGAAACAAAGCTGAAGTGTCAGAATTAGTTATCATTTTAATAATATTAACTGTTGTGACTCTTATACTTGTTCTCAGTTCAAAGATACAAACAAGAGGATTTTAATATAGGAAAAGAAATAGAACGGTCGAAGAATCTATTTTAATCATTTAGTCATGTTCTCGAAGTCTCCAAGAATAAATTGTTCCATTCAGAATTAGTTCTGAATTCCCTTTTCAATTACAGAATCATTTTTTCGTTCCTATACACTTATTCAATTAAGTCACAAACAGCAAAGAAACTTAACTTTTTTCAAAAAGTTATATATATTTAGAAAAAAATGTAACATATAAACTTTATTGCTAAGGAAGTCTTCCACAAAACACACTATTTTTTTTTCAAAGATATTTCTTGATTTCGCATTAGTTTTAAATGAAAACCTATTGTTTGTAGAACTGCTCTTCGAAGAGTATTTAGCATAGCTCAATACATATGTTCTTCATAAAGATTAGCTCTATGGAAGTTCTAATTTCCGAGATAGAAGCATTCCGTTTCTGCAAAGTCACCATGCTAATGAATGACATAGGTTATCTGTAAATTTTCTGAAAATAATAACATTTTGAAAGCCATTAATCGGTGTTTTGGATTAACATTTAGATTTTTAAAACATTTTTATGTTGATTAGTATCAACATTGGAGGCATAAAAATTTTAAAAGTAATTTGAGTTTTTTCTGTGATGATTCAAATCAACGACTAGCTTAAGGAAAGAACGTCAGTCCACTCTACAAACACCAAGAACTCTGTATAACGTTATAATCTGATCTAAATGATATTGAACTATGGCATGAAAAAAAATCGTTCAATATTTTCTACAGAAAAATGTCCGAATTTACCATTGAACCTTTGTTGATCACTTAATCTTGATAACGTACCATGATAACATTTCAAAATATGAAGCATTATTTCACATTGGATATCACTTTGAAATATAATTCTAGTGTATCTATTTGACTCTATTTATCTAGCTCAATGATTTCAATCTTTGGGATAGTCGATTTCTTTTGAAAACTCGCCGAAAAGTCACTATTTCCGACTGAAAAACAGTAGGAACTCATAAACAGGAATTCGGTAATTGAATACACTGGCTGGCTTCGTTCAGTGATTATTGATTTCGATCGTCACTAGAAAAATCGGATCACTGGATTCGATTATCGGATTCCTGTCATTCTTCAGAGTTTTCCAACCGTACTTTATTCACTGGGGTAAGTTTCTTCTTGATTAGAATTGTTATAAGATGTCGTCGATGAATCAAATGATGGGTTTCTGCCGATTTCTTTACCACTAAAATGATCTAGACAGAGCTGGTTAGTAAGATCTGTTTTATCTGGTCCCACAACTTGGTTTTCTTCTTTCTATCATTCTGTGCGGCTAATCGCAGCAGCTCTTTTTCAGATTTACAACTACCGTTTGTTCTAGCTAGTCTTCAGTGAAAATGCCGAAAGACCATGAGTTCTCACAGGAGATTAAACAGTTAATATCCTATATTATTGATTTTGTCGAAAGCGAAAAAAACAAGAAGAAAAAATTTCTTTTCTGAAAAACTTCCTAATTTTTCCAAGTTTCGTCCGCTAAAACTAACCTGGGAAACACTTGGAAAAACTCTACTTTTTCCCTTGACTTACGTCCTCTCATATCCTCTTCCGAATGGTGAAAACCGCAGGTATCTATCTCTGTTCGTTCAAATGCAATAAGCATTTTTCCCACTGGCCTTCTTTCTGAAGACAGCTAATAGCTTGCGATTTTTTTTGTATCTCGGCATTGACCAACTACCAATAAAACCGATGATGTGATGTTATTGTAAATTAATACTTTATACGTTGGATAAATATTTCATTGAAAAAAAACGGTGGAACATTTCATTTCTCATCTTCAATGTCAAGTCAATATCACACGTGTTCTGTTTGAAGACACTTAGTGACATCTTCCTATTGCTGTTCTATATAAAGAAAACAAAAACAATATAATATTTAGTATAGAATATTATTTTTTCATACATGAAAAGTAATTATTATACTGATATAAGACAGTTGGTATGATCATCGACACAAAACAGAAATTATTTGCATGGTTAATGGCGCTTAACAACGGCTGCTGATTCGTTCGTTCGTTACTTTTTTTGCTTTTCTTTTTTTTTGTTTCCTTAAGACAACAGTTAAAATTGATTGATTAATCATTACATTCAATTTTGTTTTTTTCTTAAAGGTAGATAGTTGTTTTTTTTTGTAAGTTTCATGAATTATTATTTTATTTTGTTTTTTTTTAATTTTATTCTAGTCTTCCTCTTCCTGTTGTTGTTTTTTTTGTATCTATACTTTTTTATTACAAAAAAGAAATTTAATCTATTAAACAATTGTACATATTATAAAGAAAAACAATAAAACATTTGAATATATTATCGAAAACCAATGACCGATGGCAATATTGGAGGAGTCGGTAGCGAAACCGAAATTATCGGTAGCGCATCTGAAATTATTAAAGATCGTCTCTATTTCGCCACATTACGCATAAGACCAAAATCAACTGTCCATACACATTATTTTTCTATTGATGATGAGTTTGTTTACGAAAAGTAAAAAAGAAACATATAATTTTTTGATAATCTAAACGAAATATTCAATTTTTCTTGTTAAAGTTTTTATGCAGATTTTGGTCCACTCAATTTGGCTGTCGTTCATCGATATTGTACAAAACTTAATAAGAAAATTAATGTATACTTATATATATACATCTATAAATGAAGAGTTTTTTTTTTAATTAATTTTTATTTAGAATCCAAGTTTGTTACATAAACGTATTATTCATTACACATCATTCGATCCAAAAAAACGAGCTAATGCTGCGTTTTTAATTGCTGCTTATTCAGTAAGGAATATATATTTTAAAAAAAAGATATATCAAGCTTTATTTTTCATGGATTGAAGCGTAATTTGTTTTTTCTTTGTAATAGAATACATGAAGAGGGATAGAACAGTTATACTCCTTACCCAAAAAGAGTTGAAAGATAGATTGGTGGTTTGATACTGCATTTTATACATTAGTCGATTAATTCTCAAGACTTTCGTCTTTTCGTAGAGGCACAGTTTCAATAGTTGAATGAGACAAGGGTAGTTGTAAAATTTTATAGCGTCTCATAAAAAGAATAATTAGAAATACTTGGAACAAAGTTTAGTTCGGATTTTTGTTGTTGACTCTGAGACCTGAAGAAAACATCATCATACACTATTTCTAGAATTCTAGTATAGAGATGTGCAAGATCAAGTTTTTTGGTTCTGGTCTAGAGAAAACTATTCCAGAATTTATTCGTATCATATTCAAAAAAAGTTTTTCAATACTTCTTTTTTGATTTATTTAGTTAACGACTAGCATTATTTCGGATCATCTCTCTTGAATTATTTTCTCATTGATATAATTTATAAGATTATTCTCTTAAAACCATAGAAAATTTTACTAAAATCTTTAGTTTCAGTTGGCACATCTGTTTTCACGTAGTCACTGAGATCGTGACTACAGTTGGTTTCACACTTGGATATAATCAAACATTCGAAAACATAATCTATTTAATTAATGATTCTTAGACAAACGAATATGTTCGGAATTTAAAAAAAAAAGACCGTGCATAACATAACTACATTATTCCGTTTTTCAGAACATATTTCTTTGAAATGTTCTTTAATGATCATTACATATTATCATAATTACAAACAAAATACAATGCAATATTTCATTGTTCATGTTGATTCTATAAACGAGAATTATTATTGGCGAATGTTGACAGTTGAATAGTCATATATTTATATCATAGAAAAAATGGTATTATTTAGAAGGTATTAGTAAAATACGCTCTGAGCCAGTTTGAGTGCCGTTTTACTTGATACTTATATCCATCAATAAAGCTTGAAATTCTGAGTCTATTTTATTACATTCTAAATCACAAGTTCAAACAAACAAATGTTTAGAAAAATATTCTTAGACGAAGTTGTGATAAATATCTGATGGCTCTAGTCGGTTAAAAATATGTAGCAGAACTATATTTGATTTCATTTTCCAAACATTTAGTTTGTATCAGAGTGGGATTTAATAGACTTAAAATCTTCAGCTCTATCAGCTGATGTATGTTCTAAGTAAAACGGCGTTCAAAGTGGTTCAGAATGTATTTCACTAATACCCTTATTTATAGTACACTCATTCATTTGAAAAACGACCTACATTTTCGTTTTCACTGAGAAATAAAGCTTGAAATAAATTTTTCTTTTTTTGTTATATATTTAATTTTTATCAATAGATTATTCATCTAAAACGAACACCGGAAGCAGCCTATAAACCATTAATAAATGGTATTAATGCTGCACATCCATTTTTACCTTTTCGAGATGCATCACTTGGTTCATCTTCATATAATCTAACTTTACTTGATACAATACAAGGCCTTTATAAGGTTAATTATTCGTTTTCATCAATATTTTGTTTATGAATTTTATTTTTCTTTAAATCTAGGCAATACTTCATGGTTTTTTCAATTTTGAAAACTTTGATCTTGATGAATATGAATATTATGAAGTGAGACTTTCATTTTTCTTTTCTAATGTAAAAAGAAAAAGTTTAATTATTTAATTTTAATAGAAAGTTGAAAATGGTGATTTAAATTGGATTGTTCCTCATAAATTACTTGCTTTTTCAGGTCCACATGCTAAGAGTAAAATTGAAAATGTATGTAAATTTATTTATTTATTTTTTTGGTATATAAGTATTTACCTTTTGTTACAAGGGTTATCCATTGCATGCGCCCGAAACTTATTTCACCTATTTTCGAAAACGTAATGTAGCAACAATTGTACGATTAAATAAAAAAATTTATGATGCAAAACGTTTTACTGATGTTGGTTTTGAACATTATGATTTATTTTTTTCTGATGGTAGTACACCGAGTGATGCAATTACATTAAAATTTTTAACCATTGCTGAACAAGCTAAAGGTGCTGTTGCCGTCCATTGTAAAGGTATGAATTTATTTATTGAAAAAAAAAATCTATTCGCAAATTTTTATTTTTTTTATTTTAGCGGGTCTTGGTCGAACGGGTACACTAATTGGAACATATTTAATGAAAAATCATCAATTTACAGCAGCTGAAGCTATTGCTTGGTTAAGAATATGTCGACCTGGTTCAGTTATTGGTCCACAACAAAATTATCTTGAAGAGTAAGCAAAAGAAAAAATAAATCGTTCAATAAAAAAAAGTATTTTTATTTCTATCGATCGTAGCAAACAAGCATGGCTTTGTTCATTAGGTGATGCATATCGAATAAAAGATCGGCCACGATATACGTCAACTGTTAGTACGAATTCTATGGATACAAATACACATAATCCACTTCGATATTCAATTAGTAATGTTATTGGAGATTACAATAATATAGAAGTTCGTTTTTTCTTTGAATTGTTTTCTTTTTCATGTATATTTATAAATGTATATAGGAAGAAAAAGAAGAAGAAATAACTCAAGGTGATAGATTGAACGAAATCAAAGCACGACGTATGCATCATCAACATCCAACATCATCAACAAATGCTAATGTTACGTCAAGTCTTACGTAAGTTACTTTAATATTCTTCTCACATATAAGATAGAACAGAAACAGGCTTTTGCATGTAAAAAGAAAGACTAACACAAAAAACCAATCACCTAATTTAGATGTACATACTGTATGAAACTTTATAAATCATTATCGACACTTAACAAACACATTAAAAATCAACATTCTCGAACGACTAATCAAAAGAATAATAATGGTTATCAATCATTAATGACATGTAATAAATGTATTCATAAAAAATTTCCATCAAAAAAATCATCACAATTACATCAAAGTCAAATGCATAACAACAATAATTCTATCATCATTGATGATAAAAAGGATAGGTACTTGAGATTAAATTATAAACGCATGGATAAAATGTCATAAAAAGAAACGGAAAAAAGACAGGATTTATATGCGATGAATTCTCATTTTTGTTTCGCTCGTTTTTGGTTTTATTTACATTGCTCTATAGTTACTTGTTGAGTGACTAAATGCAGTCTTCTAGAAAAAAGAAAAGCAAGTTAAAAAATATTTTTTCTAGTCTCTTCATTTGACCTCGATCGACATCATATATCACTGATGACGAACAAGTATTATTACTAAGAATGTATAGAAGTCGAATGAATAGAATTTCTCTCCATACTCATGAAATATATCAATCTGCTATATTGACTACTGTCTATTTGCAGAGCTGTTTTTCATGAAAAGAAACACACGAATGACCTTTATTTTTTTTTTTAATTTCTTGTTTTTCCTTTTGCTTTTACATGATTAAATATTCCCATCTCGTTCAACCTATATGTGCTTCTTAGTTTGCATGAATAGTTGCTCGAATTAATAAAAAAAAAGAGAAAATTAATTTTTTCTACTTAACAAAAGAACCATCTATTCCATTAGATTTGATCCATCAACATCATTTAAACGTCCACATACAACATTAACTTCTGCAATTAGTGTGCCAATTCATGGTATGTCATCAGTTGATGCACGTCGTACTTATGCACCAATGTCAAATATGCCGTCCAATGTTCTTATAAATACTACAACACGAAAACCTCGTTCATACATTTCATCAACAACTTCAGTAATGAAAACGTACGTATTAACTTCTTTAGAAAATGTCATATTTAATCAAGTAAAAGAGCCTATTTATTTATAAGTATCATCAAAAAAATCATACTTGCATCAATAAACATTCTTTCTTTATTTGAACATTTCAGCCCAATATATTCAACTGGTCGTTATATGCACACAACAACACGTAATACTAATACAACATTAACTATATCTGATACTGATAATCGTGATTCAATATCATCAACTATGTTGAAAAGTTCACAACGTGGTAAATCTCCAATGACAACAACTACTAATACATTACCAACACATTCGTATTATACACGATCAAAATCGGTATATGACCCATTGATTGTATTATACTATATATAATTTGTTTTTATTTTAGTCATATTCCAAATATTAACGAGAGATTATCAAATTTACTTTTCCAATGCAATCTTTTAGTTAACTTATATCTCTCTAATGAATAATTTGTTTGTTTGTTTGTTATTCATTTCGAATGAAAATCATTTTTTTTTGTAGTGCAGAGATAAAGTTTTTTTTTTGTACGAAAGAACAAGTATCTTTGTCTTTTGTGTGTTTTACGAATTTTTCTTTTTTTGTGGTTATATATATATGTATACTCATGTAATTTAAAAATATAACTCACCTAACTAAGAAATTTATTCTAATCATAAACATTTACGCTATCTCTCTATGAACTCATGAGCAAAATATTAAATTGAGTAGTTCATCTTTCTTTCTCTCATTGTAAAAGCTAGCACACAGGAAATAGTTATTGAACATCGAACAAAAGAATTCTCTCCGGTTCTTTTCTTTTGACGAGCATTCTTCATTAGTTCTTTTTTCTTTTCTTTATGTTAGCTTTTTTTTCTTCGAAAAATGATAGCATTTACAATTGAAAGAAGAAAAGAAAAAAGAAAAAAAAAATGTGACGTAGTTTGTCGTAGAACAAGTTATACACGCACACACACACACACTAACGGAAAACAGGGAAAGAGAACTATAGTTGAGAAGCACACTGGGCGGAAAAAAGCTGAGGAAAGCACGTCGAGCGATTCTAACGAGAACAAGAGAAAATATAGATACATGAACAAACAATTGAATGGGTACTCTAGAAATTGAGCTCGTAAGTATGAGATGAATAGAATTATGTAACACACAAAACATTCAATTAATTTGATTGTAGTATATCATCACGTCGCAACAGGTTTCATAATGTCTATAGCTATTCTGTAAGCGTTTTCTGATAGATTTCTACTAGTTTGATGTTAAGCTCACTAAAAAAATGGGTACAAGATGTGGCGGTTGATCTAACACCTCCACCGCCACGATCGTCACCATCAACTACTTCAATTTTCTCATCATCTTCAATACCTGGATCAACACAACATAATTTTTATTCAACAAAATTTTCACATGAACAACAAGAATCAAGAGATTCATCATCATCAGCAGTATATTTATCTAGACCAATATCAATGGATAGTCTACCAAGTTCAAGAACACGTACTATGTCGATTCCCCAACCATCAACATCGCCAGTTGAACTTGATTTAAGTCATTTAAATCGAGAAGAACAAGAACATATTGCTAATGTACTAAGAAGAGCAAGAGCTGTCGAAGAACAGCAATCTAATTTATTATCAGTTACTGTTCCTTCTATCATGTCTCCACCAACATCTATAACATCTTCAATATCTACTTCGTCATCATCTTCATCATCAAGTTCGAGAATTAGTTTTACTAGTGAACAACTTGAAAAAAATGACAATGAAATGTAAGTAGATTATAATTGTTTTTTTTTTGTTCTGACATTTCAAAACTTAAGCATTAATGTAGCTGTCAAGTAAAGAAAGTCGCATAACATCATCTAAGATTAATTTAAAAAATAATTTGATAAAATCTTGTTTTACATTCATTTCATATCGATACGTTTTTTTATTTATTATTAGACAAGATGAGAGCGAAAAAACTGTAACTATTCCTGAATCGACATTTTCAAATATTTATCGATGTCAAACATGTGGGAAAGAACATCAAGAAAATTCATCGAACTGTTTTCAATGTCAAGAAAAAGAATTTGTTAACCGAGATATTGACAACAATATTACTTTTTTAAGTCAACAGGTAATTTTTGATTGAGTATTAAGTAAATAATTCAATGACATTTTTCATTTTCATAGTCGATACCATTAAAAAAATCATCATCACCTATATCAATTACATATAATAGTCATAAAGAAGAAGATAAAATCTATGATAATATCGAAATAACTGATTTAGAACAAATAAAACAAGATTCTTCTATACAAGAATCAAGAACAACTATAAATCATAATGATATTGAAAATAAAAATCAACAAAATCAATCAATTAATTCTGATTTATTACGAACAAATAATCTAACAGAAATTGATGAGAATGAATTTTTCTATGAAGAACCAAGTCCATATGTAGCAGTAATAAAATCAAATCAAAATGACGAACAGATTATATCATCATATTATATTGATGAATTTCTTGATGAAGATAAAAATGATGAACGTGATCATGTTAAAGAATTAGAAGAAACAATAGCAAACCTATCTCGACATTTTCCATCTGAACAAATTGAAAAAATTACACCATCAACATTATCTATTAATAATATTGATACAACTTCAATTCTTGAAATGGAAATAGAATCACCATCAATCGATGAAATTTCTTTTGATTCTTCTACATATTCTTCGAACACCTCGATTTCTGTTCCGATTCCAATTAATAATTGTCGAATTAATTTAAGTCGTTCGTCTGGCATACGAGAGAATTTAACTGATCTTCTTATACCAGCAACAACTAAATATCATCAGACATTACAACGAACTTTATCGACACATAGCAAGGTAATAGAGTTCTAATGAAATGAATTCTATTTCACTCCTATTAATTTACATTGAAAATTTATTTATGTTTGACAATACAATCAGTTAAATTAATTTGATTATTGATTAGATAGTCGAATCAGATCTTTCCAGGTCGAAACAAATATTTGTAAATAGATTGATTTGCAATAATAAAATTAGTAGAAGAGAAAAAAAGCATTTTTAACGATAAAATAGATTTAGCTAATTAAATTTAGATTTAGACAGCTCTGACGAACGATTTTTTGGTGGCTCTACTAACTTGATTAATTGAAATAAACAAAGAGAGGAAAAGTCTTTTAGCTTATGGGTAACATATATACTCAAGGAACTATATGATAAAAAATAGAAGAATTATTGAAGAATATTTATATGATAGTAAATTGTATTCGAATGAGTAATATTTTTCTTATCTAAAATAATCGAGATCCTCAAGTTGCCGTGTCACATCGTTCAGTTGTGCTCTGCCACCAGATCGTACTAAAATTTTCGATGGTTTTTCTCTTCTTCTGATAATATTCTCCGTTTTTTTAAGAGCGCAGCTAACTCTGTCAAAATGAATATTTCTCAAAGTTTTTTTTTTTTTTACATTTTAAAATAGTCCTTGAATACTTATAGAGATTATTTTCTTTATCTCGTGCCATGGAAATTAAATAGTGATCGGAGCGTGTATGCTCCGGAACAAGAAGAATATAGAGTCCGCATATACTTGTCAACAGTCCTGTTGCATCGTAGACAATCGTGTTTTGACGGTTCACCGAACTAAGTATTATGATCATATGTCGCCGTGACAATTTATAGAGAAATTTGAGACAAAACTAAAATCATCTACGACTTCCGAGAAAGCAGACAGTAAAAGAGTGTTTTCATCTTGGCAAATTATCATATTCCTTTGTATACAACATATTGATATACGATCGTAATATTGATTCATGTACATAGCTGTATTTTTGGAGAGCTCTTGATGACGACAATACTCGTGTAAACTGAGTACTTGAAAAAATTAGCCAAAAAGTCAACTCTTAAAGCACGTTTGTGATGAGGTGGGGTAAGATAGGTATTTAACCAATTAATGGAGATGAAATGATGACGAGGTAGCTTTTAAGGTGACTCATGGATCTATTTACAAAAAAATACCCATACGGATAGAAGTAAATATTAATAGATAAAGTTTTTTATTTATTTGAGGGCTATATTTTTATCATAAAAATAAATGAGTTCATGATAAATTTGCTTTAGTGTATATCTTTATAATCATTCATAATCAATAATATTAAATATATTTTTTGTTATCTTCTCTTTAAGCATATGTTATCAATAAATCGACAGAAACGTAATTTACCATCTGTGCCAAGTGTTACTACTTCAAATCAATTGCAATTACGTCGTGCTAATTCTGAATCTCGTTTTAGTCTTCCAGCTGTTCCAGTTCCATTACCAATAATAATTCCTCAACAAAATCTTGATGATGAAAGTGATTTACTTGAAATTGATCTTAATGATCCAATTGGTTCAATGAGTAGGACTTTATGTTCAAAAACTGAATTTGAATATAAAAAACCTAATGAAAACTATCAATATCCAGTAAAATCAATAAATGGTCATTCATCAAATGTTAAACAATTACGAGATCAAACAACGAATACTCCTCCAATATCAAATTTAAATTTATCCATAAAATCAAAGAAAAAATTAAAAAAGAAAAATTCAATTTCATTAAGTAATACTAATGATCAAATTAGTTCTTCAACTATTCCATCAATTCCAAAATTACAAAAGGTTTTTTTCTCTACCTTTAACAATATTTTAATTATTGACATTTTTCTTTTTTTTTTCTTAATAGAGTACAAGTACAGAAATAACATATCCATTTCCTGTAACAAAATTAATTTTAAATCGATCTCGACATGGTACTTCTACTGATCTTGGTTTTCGTATAACTGGTGGTCATTCAATTTCTAATTGCACGGAAGTAACAGCATGTATTGAAAACATTAATATTCGTCATCGAAATTATGAAATACTTAAAAATATTGTTCAAGAAGGTTTGTTTTATTCTGAAATGTTCTCAAATCGTCAGAATTGAAGGTCGATGTCTTGCGACGAAGCATTTAATCTGTTCGTCTTTATTCCTAGAATTTTCATTTGTAGATGATCGGGCTTCTTGTGTCTCCCTTGTTTTACGCATGAATAACGAGATCACTAGAGTAATGTAACTTTCAAAAGGTTCCTACTCATATTTAGATTTGGTCAATATGGCAAACTTTTAGTAAATTTCTCTTGCCAGAATCCAATTTTTGGAAAGAATCATACTTGGAAATGTTGACTTGGGATATTTTTTACATATGAAGATCTTGATCAAACTATCTCATGTATATAATTTCATCAGTTTTGAATATCATATTGTTATGATATAGGTTTCTCAATATATGTATGTTTTTCTTCAAGTGCTGTATTTGATATGGATATATGAAGATATTCGATCAAATCTAAACACGAGTAGGAATCTTTTGGAAACTACACTACTCTAGTGAGTCTCTAAATATAGGAGCAAAAAAACTCGATCACCTGCAAATGAAAATTCTAGAGTTAGCGTGCTTCACTATATAGAAAAAGTATAAACTTCATAAATTTTGAAATAAGAAACAACAAGAGAACAAATCCTCTTAGGCTTTTTTTTTTATCGTGATACACCCTAGATATAGAGAATGCTGGAAGACGAACGCAGTGAACTGCTTAGGAGAGTTCTTTCTTCAAGGGGGTGGGGGGGGGGGGTGAAGAGGTTGACGAGAAGAATGGAACCGAATGTTCTTTTTGCATCGATAAGCAAAAGAGACACGAAAATTTTTCCAGATCGGAGAGAATTACCTGTGGTTTTATTAATTCATAAATAAGAATTTTATCTTGTTTAATTAATTACTACAGGTGATGAAGTACTTGAACTTGGTGGTGTGCCATTACGTGGTAAAAGTGCTTTATTTGTTGAAAATTTAATGAATACAATAGAAAATGAATTCGAAATTATTGTTCGTAATCAATCGATTAATACAAATTCAGATTCATTATTACCAATAGATACAAATAGTCATCGAAGGCACACCATGGATATATCACAATTACCATTAAGTGAATCAACAAATAATACAGTTACTAAATCAAAAACAACATCAATATCTTCACTTGATCAAACATCAAAAATAATAATTGATGACACTCAACAGAAACAACAACAAGAACAAAATGTTTTATCAAAAGTAATAAAATAATTTTAAAATGAAAAAATAAATAAACAAGTAAACAAATACTTTGAATTATTTCTTTTTGTTTTGTAGACAAAATCACTATCAAATGAAAAATCAACAAATTTATTTTCACATCGTCCTCGTTCAAATTTATTACCAAATGATCGTGGACTAAATGGTGTTGATAGTAATATAAGTATTGATCAACAAAATTCTATTGAATCTGATGAAACTGATAGTTTATCACAATATTTTCATTCACCACAAAAATTAAAAATAACTTCAATGACAAAAGGTAATACATCAATAGCTCATGGACGTAGTCAAAGTGTTATACCACTTGCAAGTGATATAACAAATGCATCACGTCGTTTACAAAGTTTTCTTAAATCTGATGTAAAGCGTTCATCAAAAGATTCAACAAATACAGAAAGAAAATCATCATTAGCTTTAGCATCATTACATTTTTTAAAGAAAAAAACAAAATCAGCAGATTTTTCTAATCAAAAAAATATGATTATGAATCAATTACGTGAAAATCATTATGTTGGTGATATTGAATTACAAATACGACATGATTGTGAACGAGAACAATTAGTTGTTGTTATTATTCGAGCAAAAAATTTATTACCAAAAGATACTAATGGATTTTCAGATCCATTTGTTAAAGTTTATTTATTACCTGGAAGAGAGTAAGTACATTTTTTTATATCTTGAAAGTTACATAGAATTTAACAATTAATGTTCTAAATTTTCTAATTAAATTTATTGGAGAAAATTCTAGTTAAAATTTTGAAAAACTAATAAATTATCTTATATGTTCTTGAGGTTTAAATTCTCCACAACGAAATCAAAATATATTAAAACAGATCGTTTCAATATGCATTGTGATCTAATATATATGGGGATGCCCAATCTGGCCGGAGGCCCCATTTATATTTTTTTTATTATAAGGATAAAACATACCATTGTTCGGGTCATATGAGAGAAGATACCAGATAACCCTCAATTGACCCGAGCAATACCATGTTTTATCCTTACAATAGTAGGGAAAAGCTACCTGTCTATCGTGTGACCTGGGAGCTTGTCTCTACTATTGTAAGGATAAAATATAGTATTGTTCGGACCAATTGAGGGTTATCTGGTATCTTCTCTCATATGGCCCGAATAATGGTATGCTTTATCCTTATAATAAAAAAATATAAATGGGGCCTCCGGCCAGATTGGGCATCCCCATATATATATCGTTAGCAACCACATAGCATCTTGAAATTAAGTCTAAATACAAGAATTATCATTACCCATATTGGCAATAAAATTTTTCTTTTATTCCATGCGCTGTCAAAGAGTTTATTAATTGATAATAAGGAAAAAAAATGTAGAGTTTATTCAATCATATTAACAATTGCATATAAACATTGAAAGGCATAAGAACAAATGAAAATGAAGAAATATGGTCTTAATTCTAGTCTTACAAAATTGAATATGCTGGTATGATTTTAATGATAGTATATAGTCGTTTTCGGAAGTTGTAATTATAATCTTGAAATTTCATATACTTCGTCTAATGGATAATTCATTTGTTTTTGTCAATTAGATGTAAAGGTCATTTTGTTTTCTAATTACACTGAATGAACGATGATATTGCTCTAGATAGAATTATGAAGACATACAAAATTATGATTGAGGAAGAACAATTTGAATTCCATTGAGATTTAGTGATTGTCTAATGGTTTCCGATTGTTTAAATTATTGTAGAATAATAATTCATGTATTAATGAGACTTGAAAAGTTAAGTAATAGCAATGGACTATCGAGGTTTATTTCAAAGTTATTAATAATGATCTCAAGAGTTAGTATTCGAAAGAATACAACATATTCAAACTAACGGTAAAGATTCATATAGATTAGACGACCGTCATCAAACTATTTTAGAATAGTGGTTGTACAGAATGCTAATTCTTTTAATCAATTTTGTATTTTGATTGACACTTATCAAATTCAAAATACGAAACTGTTTCTAATGGCCCAGTTTACTCTACAAAACTTGCTATTCACTTTTATATTTTTAAAAGAAGTTTTTGCAATAGCAATTATCAATTTCCATAGCAACTAGCTCTTTAGTGGAAATGTATTGAAAACATATTCGAAAATGAAGAAAAATTCTGATTCTAGTTCTAACCAGTTGTCTTTTAGTGGCCGAAAAATGAGCGAATATTGTTTTTTTGTGGCAAGACTATCACGCTATAGATTAAATTTTTCATTTAGTCTTTGAGTACTAGTTAAACGAGGAAATTTATCTGATTTTAATCATAGTTATTTGTTTCTAGTGCAGAAAATAAACGTCGAATTAAACATGTATCAAAAACATTAAATCCTGTATGGAATCATACTGTTATATATGGAAATATGCATCGAGAAGAAGTACAATATAAAAAACTTGAATTTACTGTTTGGGATTATGATCGTTTTAAAGCAAATGATTTTCTTGGTCAAGTAATAATTGATTTAAAAAGTAAAACAAGGAGAAAAATTCTAATTTAAATTTCAATACTTAATTTTTTGTTTTATTTAGATCCAAATGTGATTGATGATAAACCCCATTGGTATCGTCTTCAAGCATTACGTTCTCGTGAAGAAATAACAAATCGTAGTTCATCACCACGTTTAAATATCTTGGCATCAGCTGATTCAACAAATTCATCAACATTAACAATAAATAAAAATTCTGTGAATACGCAGCCACGTACCAATCAACAGAAATGATCTGTACATTTGTTTTCTCGCTTGTTTTCTTTTTTTTGCTATTTGTTTATGCTATTCAGATATTAACATTGAAATGCATATTTGATTTTATTGAAAAACAAAAACAAAAATTGATTTAATAATTCAGATAAAAGAAAAAATAATTATCGAAAATTAGAAGAGAAAAAAAAGATGACAATGACATACAAACTTTCGATAGAATATTTTCAATCATTATCGAGGAGCAAAATTTTTATGACTGAATTTATTGCTGTAAGTTTATAAACTTCAGAAATTGAATGCTTTATTTATAAACATACTGAATACAATAGTTATTATCATCTGTAGACGTTCGATATTAAATTTCTAATAATTAACCTTGTGAATATCAGCGTACAGAATTCTATAGGCTATATAAGAGTTTCTTTATTGTCGAATGGCCTGTAAACGGTAGAAGGATGCCAAGATGCGACGATATAGGCTTGTTGGTTGATATTAAATATTCTATTAGTTTTGCTTGCATGTATATGGAAAATTAAAAAGATGTAAAATAAATGAAATGACTTGGGGTTTAGAGAGCGTGCGAAGTCTATTGGAAAATATTTAACCTATGGGTATTTTTCCACCTAGATTATGATTATTAATTTTTACATAATTACGACGAACATTAATCACAAAAAGTATGGTAGAATGAATGATCCGTGATTTCTTGTTCTTATTTTTCTATTTATGTGCCAATGAATCTTTATATTTTATGTAAATGATCAAAAGATTGTTTTAGAACACGTGACGCAATTGCAATGTTAAAAAAATTATTTTTCAGCTGAATTTTGGATATTTTTAGAAAAAGATCTTAAAATTCAAAAGCGACTTTCGATCATAAAATAACTGTATTTCAAAAATTATTGAAAACTAACACTTCAATAGCATCTTTTACATAGAGGAAAATCAAGATTATATTTCGGTTAAAACGAATGAACCAAGCATATCTCACGAACCATGCAGGAAAAGAGGTCTAAACTTGTTGAGTGATCAGTATTCGTTGATAAGAATGATGACACAAATTAATAAGTGTCCCTCGCTCAAAAAAGTCAATTTTTAGAAAGTACATGAAAACTGAGATAAACATATAGGACTATAGTCCGATGTTGGATCTTTAAAAAATGGTATGATTTTTTATTTGGCATCTCGTTTTTTCAAAAAAATATCTGTGGCTTTCTACTTGAAAAATAGGGTTTTTCAGATAAAATGGAAATTTTCTTTCGTTTTTTCTCTGTTTATATCTTTTTGATCGCGCAATCCAGAATTCTCAGAGAAGGTTCATTCTATATGTTTAATTTTTTGTTTGTTTGCAAGATCATGCCAAGACGCAGTACAGAGTCCGTTTTTTTTAATTAAATTCTTTTATTATATATACAAACATTTATATGAAATAGACATCCATTTTTCGATAGTTTTTTGTGTCATTGAACTTTTCATCCCATTTCTTCGCTTAAAGAGTAAAAATTAATAAAAAAAAAAGCCTCTGTACTGCATTTCATCTTGTTATGTTCTTTCAAACATAGAAAGAAAAAAAGCTAAATATATAAAATGAGCCTTAACAGAGAGCTTTGTTTGCCGAATGAGCTATTTTTAACCCTTGTCTGGTGAATCTCTCTGTCAAACGTCATGGTACATGACTGAAAATTTTACTATAGTGTCTTCACTACAGCCCCAGCAATTAGTTTAAATATAAATATGGCTTTGTTGTGTTATCATTACAAAACAGCGAAAAGTACAAGCAACGAAAGTTTTTTCCGCGAAAAAATGGCAAAAGACAAACAATGAAATATAAAATAGAGAAATTTAATACGTGGATATCAAGTGACACAACAACAATTAAATAGAGAAATCAACTATGAAAATGAAGAATTCAAAGTATTGTTTTCGAATTTTTAGGCATAAGCTTAGATAAAGTATGTGAGAGTAAGTTAGTAAAAAAAAAGTTCACGTCCCAAAATAGATTCATAGATTGGCAAGAGGTATAACTTATATGCATAGGCACCACAATGAATCACCGTTAAAGATAAACAATCGAATCTTGTCAAGGAAAAAAGAATTCACTTAAGTAACTTTCGTAATTTTACTCTTCGTTATTATTCACCTTCGCTAAAATTTATGTTCGACCTTGTGCGCTTCGCGTATCGTTTTCTTACTGAAAAATGTTTCGTTTTTATGTTTTTTCGTCGAGTGGACATCATATCTTTGTTTTATTGTTTCATGTTGCAAATAATATGACATTAAACTTCATATCAAAAAGCAAATATTGATATCACTGCTACAGTTACAGGAATCTGTGAATCTATAAAGTTAATATAAAAGTATGAAAGAGTTTTTCAACAGCAGATGTGCCAACTAGAAATAAAATGTACAGAATATCTGCTTCTTCTGATGTACAATCTGTTAAAAAAAATAGAGTGTATCAGTGTTTATTCCAGATTTTCTCTTCTGGAGGGACGGTTTTAAACTTAGGGTAGGCAAATATCTATTTTTGGAAACACAAACACATTGTATTGTAATACAATAGTCACGAAATTACAGAGGGTCAATTCGACTTTCGGAAGAGCGCCGCCTCCTCAACCTCCACATTGGATAAAATACTGAAGTATACGTAGTATACTTTGCTGAAGACATCTACATTTTGATTACAAAACTTTAGAAGGTCTATGTCGTATTAAATTAAAGTTGATCTTTGGTATATATATTAGTGTTTATTTTATTGTAAACACGCTAAGTGATAAAATTAGTAAGTCTACTTATCGTTAATTAATTTGGTAAGTATTAGAAAATATTTCTCATGAAATACAAAACATAAATTTTTGTTTTTTTTTTCTTTACATTCTATTGACAAAAAGAAAATATATAAACACACATATAGCTCGTATAGAAGGGAGTATAAAAACAACATTCTTTAGATTATCATTGGAAATATTCATGTGAAAATAGTATTTTTATTTTTGTTTTTCAATTAAAAGCATTTATTGATTTCGATTTATTGAAAAAATCATGTACAATAGATATGTGAATGTAAAGTGTCAATCATAGCATATGCATAAATAATATTTTCAATTAAAAATATCGATGAGAGTAATTTATAATTTGTTCGATTAATTACCATCTAATTTATATGAATCAGATGTCGTTAATATACAGTGAAAAAAAAGATTGATATAGAAGATAATTCGAATTGATAGTATATATATATTTTTGACAGTAATCATTAAATTTTCTTTTCTGTATCTCATAATAAATCATTCGGATAAATATTTCATTCAATGATGCACGATGAGTCATCGATATTGTTTTTTTTTCTGTTCCTACTACTACTACTACTTGTTAATATTCAATTTGTTTGTTCAATTGTATTGGCAGCAATAGTGAACAGAAGTTGCAGTCAAATTTTTTGTAGCTTCAATTTCACTGTTTTAATAATCGAATGTCTCTTAGTCGTCGAACAATTAGTCGAATAGTTTTATCAACAAGACCTTGTTCATCACTTAAAAGTCTTAGTCAACAAAATATCTATTCTCAATTAGAACAAAGTCGAATCGTAAGTCAAATAAACGTTCATTTATTTTATTCGCACGTATACAATCGATAAAAACCTTGATTGAAAATAACGATTAAATAAAGCATACATATAAATATAGTTAACATGAGTAAATTCCATAGACATTCTCATTTTTCAACTGTCATTATCGTTTGATATTTGATCATTATTATTATTTTAGGAAACAGTTTCCTACAATGATAGGTTCAGAGCAACAAGTAAGAAAATACTCCATCGGGGAATAAGATATATATATATATCTAAATGTTTGCATGTTCTTCAATTTGAAATTGCACGAAATAAGATTATCTTTCCTTTAACGTTCGTTTAAATGCATGAGGAAAAAGGGATACATCTTATATATTGTTCAATTGAAGATCAAAACTCGTCGGATGATACATTTAATTGAATCTCCTCTGAAGGTTTCGTTCTAAGACGATGACATTGTTTGAATACTCCAGAAGTATCTCGTTGTCTTGATTCTACTGATAAGAAAAAACGAAGAAGAAAAAAGAAAGAAATTGTTGTTGTTCTCCATCGACAAACTAGTTAAAAGCTTATCTATCGTTTCTTTTTCGCCCTTTGTGTCTGCCGCTACATGCAACTTAATGTACAAGTACGGTAGTTGATTAGAATACTATCTCTATGCTGTTCGAAGAAATAGGATCCGAATATGAATATAATTCACCAGAAACAACATCACCTCCTATTTTACATCCATCGTTTTCAATCCCTCTTATTGATACACATCGTCGATCATGGTCACCTACTAGTTTACGTTCAGTAGGGAATCAATCTTATCAATCATCAACTGAAGATTTAAGTGTACTTAATAAATTTGCCATAAATGTTCGAGCATCATATCGCGGAAAAAACATATTTAGACAATTGATACAACGATACTGTTTTGATAATAACAATCGTGAGGTAGATTGAAAAAACACAAATGTTTTTTTTTGAAAATTGATGATGAAGAATTTTTTTGATAGTTTAATATTTCTTCCATTCTATAGAATATTGAACAACCGCAATTCATCTGTGAAGAACGACAAGAAAATGCTATATTTAAAATCTATTTAAAACGTCTACCACAAAAACCATCAACATCTAGTGGATCATCTTCTAGTTTTCGTACACTAGTTGATGATCAAAATGAACAGGTTAAATAAATGATTTTTTTTAAAGAAAAATTTAATTTATTGAATATAGAATGAATCAATCAATAATGAACATTCTGCACTTCTTTATTCAACAATTAAAATTTATCAATTAAAAGCTGGCACAATTGAAAAAATTGTAGAATGTCTAACAAATAAAAATGGTGATTTGGACACAACACACATGCATATTTTATTTTCAACTTATCGAATTTATGTCAATACTAGAATATTAGTTGATACAATATTATCACGTTATCAAGCAGTTATTCCCGCTTCATTGGATATGACTGAAGATGTTCGACAAAAAACTCTTAAGTAAGAAATTAATTTTTTTTATTTATTATTGATTTAAGAAAATGAAAACATTATTTATAGAAGTCTTTCAACAGCATTAATTTGTTTATTAACAGCTTATAAAGAAGATTTTTATGAGCCACCATATTATACAACATTAAATCATCTTCTTAAACAAACAATTGATATAGATGTACAAAATCAATGTCTAAGTTTATTAGATCGTTTTTTAAATGAAGAAAATATTTCTCAATTAGATTCAAGTAATTAATTCTTTGTTTGTTTGTTTTTCTTTTCTTTTAATTATTATTCGAAATTCTTTTTATTTTTAGATATTTTTACATTAACACAAGATATTAATAACAATAATAATAATAATAATAATAATAATAATTATTTAAAACATCTTCATGGTGATGATTTGTATAATCAAAAAGGGTTTGATTGTAATACACCAAGGAATTTTCTTGAAATGTCAAATGTCGTTGTTGCCGAACAATTAACAATTTTTGATGCGGTATGTTTATTAAATAAGTTTCGAATGAAATTTATTCGGAATTCCACTATGAAAATATCTATGTAATCAATGTCAGATACATAAATTTATTAATCAAATTTCAGCATAAATCTATTCATTGATTATATTTAAATTTCAATATTACTAATGAGAGAAAGAGTAGTTCCAGGGATGGTACAACCTAATAAAAAAGAACAAGCATTCTTTCGACCGATTCAAAATAGTATCAATTTACTTTTGCTCTTTTCTCTTAAAGAAAATATGTAAACCAATTATTTAGAAGGAAAGAAAATAACTGCCCATAGCATTTCGTCATCCAATGACTTGTACTGATTTAAACTTATTTCACTTCGTCACTTTCATGACCTGAAAGTTTTGTTGTCTTTAATTCTTTTTGATTGTCATACAATCTTAATCGATCTTCATTCACTGGAAAGATTTTGCAATTTTCTAGACGAGAAGTTTTGCATTAAGAAAATGAGAAATTACCCACATTTCTATGACACAATTGATCTAATCGAGCTAAGAATTTTCTCATAGATAATGAACACTGTTTATAGTGGGTATTTTCTTTTAGATATCGTTTTCCAAGGTTTTGGTATGTCTTAGAAAACAAATGACTTATTGAAAAGATACATGTTGTTTAGAGTATTCTTCTTATTTTGACATTTTTATTGGAAGAAACAAGATAAAAAGACACCAAGAAAGATAACTACCTAAATAGTATGTAGTTCCTTTAAAAAGGTCCTTTAGCTTGATCGGACAAAGTAGACCAAAGAAGCGAAGCACTCGAGATTTATCTACCATGAAAATTTTAGAATTTTTTGCTTCACTTGTTCTCAAGAAACTCCGAAAATGGGAGGAACTCTTAAAATTTTTATTGGTGTTTTTCGACCTAGCGTGTTTTTATAAAACACAATCTAAAAGGAGTGTTGAAGTATAGGGAGTAGGAATTCATCCAGCTCCCATCGGTACAGATGTCACAAATACCTTTGCAATGAGTCATGACAAACATTCTTAGCAACGTTTCTCCTTCATCAAAGACAGTGGTAGACTTTGTTGACATACAATGACAAAATACATATCAATAACGCTTTGTTACAATAAATGAACTACTTCCTTATTGCAGTTCTGAAGGACTTAGTAAACGGATGGTGAAGAAATTTGTCTCAAAATGAAATGTTATTGTCTGTCTAAAAGCGAGATGTATAGACGAAAAAAAATTCAATTAAAAGAAAAGGGCATTGCCTTTTTTCTATTTTTAGGAGTTGTTAAAATGTGTTTTACCACATGAATGTTTAACTAAACGAGGAAATAGTAATAAACGACGAGGATTAAATTCCAATCAAATGTTATCAACAGTTGATAAAACAATTGAACAATTCAATGCTGTTGTTAATCGAGTTATAGCAACTATATTAAAAGAACAAAATGAACAAACACGTGCTCGTATTATTGAAAAATGGATTGATATTGCATATGAATGTCGAAAATTAAAAAATTTTTCATCATTAACAGCTATTTTAAATGGTCTTCTATCTGGATGTGTATATCGTTTAAATAAAACTTGGTCGCATGTTAATTTAAATTATCGTTCAATATTAACTGAATTAAAAAATATTTTTGGTAGTTGTGCAGATCGAAAACAAGCACGAGCTATTCTTGATAAGGTAAATTAGTTAGTGTATCTATTCAGTTGTCTTGTTTGCTATTAAACATAATGATATGTATTAGAAAAACTAAAAAAAAAGAATGTATTTTTGCAGCAATTAGATGAAATTCGTCTGACCTTACCAGAAAACACTGTAGGTTTAAACTAACTATTTGTTATTGTACGCTTTTCTATGTATGTGCACAGCAAAAAAAAAACAATTGCATGATATTGCTTTATTTTATGATTGCTAACAAAACAAACTTTTTGTTTGATTCTTTTAATTATAATTTTTTCTTAATATAGGAAGGAACAGCGAAATATGTTGATGTATCAATAGCAATGAACGGAACACTTGATAAAAAACTTCGATCGAAAAAAACACGAAACCAAAAAAAAGTAAACATTTAATGAATTTTTAAATAAAATTAAAATATTTTATTTCATTTTCAATAGACAATGATTGGTACGGTGCCATATCTTGGTTTATATCTTAGTGACTTAACTTACATTGATTCTGCGTATGATAATTATATAAACATTAATGAAAACGATAAATCATCACAAAAATTAATAAATTTTGAAAAACATCGTAAGCAATTCGAAATATTAGCTCAAATAAAATTATTTCAATCAGCTGCTAATGCTTATACAACACTTCGATCATTACTATATTTTAAACATTGGTTTGATAATGTTCAAACATATATTGATGCTGAAAGGTAATTTATTGTTGATCTTGTTTTTTTTATTTGACTTGATTTTTTATTTTATTTCTTCTAGTTGGGAACTTTCTTATCAAATTGAACCGAAAACAATAGATAACATTGATAAACAACAAAAATTCCTAGATGATCCGTCACCTACCAATCGTTTAAGACCACTTAAAGCGTAAGTGTAATTCTGCGCCACTCCTCCCAGATTTTCATCGATTTTCTTCTGGCAAGATTTAAGTATGTTAGTCTTGTCGTCCTCATCAAGTTGTGTAGGAATTTATATTTATTCTTGATTCGAATCATGTACTAAATCCAACAAAGCAATTTTATAAGTCAATTTTATCGAAAAATAATCCACAGAATATGTCTGTAATTGTCAGAGTTACATATATATATCTATATCTCATTGTTTGGGAGCATTTGCAAAATTAGAAAGAGTGTTACTTTATGCTTAACTTAAATTGCCTATAAAACTTATATATTTAGCTCAAGATCTTTACATATTAGTATGAAAATGAAGGTTATACTATGCTTATATACAGCGAAGGTATCGCATTTCTCGACTAATATTCACTTCTTCAAATATATGAATTTCAAGAGTTCGTAGAAGCTGTTATTCATTATAAAATTTAAAAGTAATGAAAAAATTAGGTGGTTTTTAGTAATACATTTAGTTTTTTCAATTTTTTTCTGTAAACGCTCTGAAGTGAATCACATAAATGATGTCGATATTGTTTTGCTGAAAGCAGAGAATGTTGATGAAACTATTGTCTGAAAAATAGAATTCAATTGTTCTTCGGATGTATCTTTTCTTTTCATGTGTTTCTTCAACAATCACCGTTATTCAGCTATGTAGCATGCTCGCTATACAAATGATTTCTTTTCATGATCCATTCTTCTTTTAAATGTTTTCAGACGTACATATTTATTTTTAAAAACCGATTTAGCCATAATTTTTGTTCTCTAGCTGTATTGAGAAATTAAAAGTAGTATAGTAGTAAGTTTTATATCTCGAGTTTTGCATAATGAACTATGTTAAACTGCAGTTATTCGGTTTTGATTTTAGGCAAACCTGTAGCAATTCAATCTCGTACAGTAATTTACAGTAACAACTTTTCATGCTCTGGTAAAATCAAAATTTTCAAAGAAAGTTCATAAAGAATAAAACAAACAGATTCTGGGGAGGGAGCTATTTTTTGATTAAATCGACTTTTGGACCTGCTGCGCCGAAGTTAGCATATGATTCTAATCAAAACTAAATATTAATCCCTACACAGTCCGATGAGGACTACAAGACTATCATACTGAAATCTTGTCTGAAGACAGCTGATGTAAATTTGGGAGATATTGCGTGCAAGTATTCATATATAATTTCTATTTAATAAACTCAAATATCTGTTGTCTTTTTTTCGTAGGTTTCCCTCTGAAGTGTCACTTGAATCACTTATGACACCTAATAATCAAACTAGAGTAATAACATCACAATTAGGTGGTTCATTACGTTCATCACCATCTTTCAATTCATTTGATAAAATTAGTTTAACATCAAATAATTCTTTTCCACAACGTCAACAGTCAATAAATGATCTGAATAATAAAGTAAAAAGATTTGATTGTTTTTTTTTCTATTTTTAAACTCTTTATTGCTTTTTCTTAAGAAAACACATTCAAATCATGCACGTTCATCATCAGCATCAAGTTTTCTTACAAAAGATAGTTCAAGCCAAGGTTATATGTCTGCGCAAGCTTCACCTGCCAATAGTCTTGCTAATTGTACTTTGAATAATGTAGAAAATGATACACTTATTGCTAAAGTACGACTAGTTGGTAGAGATGATCTATTATATAAAAAAATTCGAGTAAGTAAAAATTGATTGTATCCAAAACAGAAAGAATAATCTATTATTTCTTTTATGAAATACTTCTGAAAATAATTTCGATGCGTAAAAAAAAACATTGCAATGAATATTATATTAAGTTTTGCGAAACATAATCTCTAAGGAGTATTGACGTATAGGGATGAAAATATGGAACTTCTCATGTCACAGATCGTGTATTAATAACATATTGTTATGACACATGAAATACTTCCTAATGCATTTCTAGAGTATTAAATAGAAAAATGATGAAAAAATATGTCCCAAAATAGATCGAATAAAACAATTTCTCTGTGACTAGCATGAGTAGTTGGAGCGTGTTTCACATTTTAATCCCGCAGGGAATGCACTAATAGCTTTTATAGAATAATAATTGGTGATCAAAAAGTAAGTACACAAAACGTTCATTCATTTTTCAGCTTTTTAAAGAAACCTACAGAAATTTTATAAACATTGAATTAGAATGAGAGTATTGTGTTCTTTTCAAAAATGGATTCAATTGTTTTTGTAGGGCTTCTGGTATAAGAGTCACGAGTCAGCCTTTTAGATACGCGCAAATTAGATCTGGGCGAAATTTCGCGTGTCAAAACTTATTCAAAATAGAAGCAAACATTATTTCAAATACAACGAATAAAAGAGCAAACACTTCTCAATAAAATGATATATTAATAACTAGTTATCTCTAAGTCATTTGTTAACAGCAAATGTTTTGGTAAAGAACACTGTGTCAATTCAGACAATCCTCTCAATTTCTATGGCAAAACAGACTTGGAAAATTCTTGAATGATTATTCTGAAACTCTTGATTCTTATACTACTTTGTAGAAAACAATTTTGCCTTTTATTCTATACAAAAAGATCGAAAATATCATGCAGGTAGTAGAGTAGACTATCGTAGCAAAAAATGTCAATTTTCTCTGTTCAAACTAAATTTTCGCACATCTAAAATGTCAGCTCATAACTTTTTAATCGGAAACCCTATAAAAGTTTTCGAAGCGATATTTGGTAAGAACACAAAATTCTGATTTTAACCCATTTTTGTGTACTCAAAAAGTGAGTACACTCTAGAATCGGTCAGTGTGTCCGTCCGGCCGGCCGGCCGGCCGTTAACACGATAACTTTTGAAAGGAGAGTCCAATCGCGATGAAATTTTCTACACAGTTCAGTCTTAACAATGTCTCGGTCGAGTTCGAAGATGAGCAGGATCCGTCAAGAAATGGCTGAGTTATCGAAAAAATTGTCATTATTGAGAAGATCATCCCTGAGGGGGAGTACAGGGNTCCAAAATCAGGAGACAATCTTTAAAAATTCTCTACACAATAAATGGAAAAGATATATACAGTCGTATAAAAAAACAGCCACTCCTTTTAGCTATTTTTGAAATTCTATATTACGGAATTTTTCTCAGATTTTCAATTAAAAAATGACTCTCAAATCAACTTATTTCTGCGAAGCCAGTGCATTCTTCTCATACATGCGAAAAGGCCGAAAAAATTTGGGAAAACTACATTTCTCAACAACTTATTTGCAAGTACTTCAAAGTACCTCAGAGTACTTCAAAGTACTTCAAAGTACCTCAAAGTACATTAAAGTACATTAAAGTAGTTAAAGTACAAGAGTACGATGTTTCTCCCTTGGGTAGTGCCCATCCTTCAGCCATACAGCTTAAATTATTCATGTTTCGTACAGAAACATCTGGAGTCGGCAATGATGGAGCTACGTTGGACACAATTTTGTCCGTTTGGGCCATATACGTTTTCACTGCAGTATCGAGTAGAGAGAGCTTCATCTGTGGATACACGTGTTTTCCTGAAGCAATGTGATCTTCGCATCGATCGATGGAACGATACCATTTGATGCATTGAGAATCATTGCACCGAAATATGACAAAACCTGTATTTGAGTCCAGTATCGGTCGACCATCGTCCATTTGGCTGTCTTCATCAGTATCTGTTGATAAACATTCACTCTGACTATCATTGTTTTCGTCTTCTTCGTCGCCTGATAAACTGCCTTCGTCATTCGCCTCGTTCCCTAGAGTTTTTTTACGTCAACACAGTCTAAAGTAAAAGTATAAGGATGGATAAGTAATGCCTTCTGAAAAATAATCTTGTTTCCATTCCATGTTTTCATGTTGGGCAGATGCATCAACTTGATGAGACGCCAGATTTTTTAAGTTCGCTTTTACACTTGCCATATTAATAATTTTGCCACTACCGACTCCAAATGCACGCCACGCTCTGATCTGAACCTCATTGATATCATTCGTTGTAACGATGCAGCCGTAGGCGCTCGGAAACAAGAAAGAAGCTACTTTGTCCACCGCCAGCGCGGGTACTAAAGTGATCAATTGCAAATCTCATCAATATCCATCGTCTCTCATACACCCACCAACAAGAACGGTACAATCGAAGTGAATTAAAAAGGGGGCATCAGACGACCATGTTAGGTAACACTTCAACTCGTGTTGCTGTGAATCTCTAGGGCTTCCAAATAAAGCATATCCTCGTTCAGTCCTGTCGCTCTCGTCATGAACTTGCGAATGTAAACTATTCCTAAGTCGATAGCATACCTGCGAGACTACGTGATTAGTCAACCACGGACCTTGGTTGGTGAGTGCAAACTCGTACTGAATATTGAAAATATTGCTGATGCCTGCCCACGACGTCTTGCTTGATCTCTTTGTGGAATTTTTCGATAACGTGGAGTTGTCGATGGTCGGAAGTTTGCTGGCAAATATCGAGAGATAATGGGTTAATTTTGCGGCCGCAACGAACTCCGTACTGTTGGTACAATTGTGTTTTTCGTCAATGTATCGACGCACTTCGCCTTTGATTACAGCCGCTCGTCTGTCACAGGTGCCCTTACCAGCTTGAGACTCGGAGAAGTCGATTCGTTGAACAAACACTCCAGTACTCTCGAAAATTTCCTGAACAAAAGTAGTTATGATAGCACTGTGGTAGCAAGCGCCATTGCCCGATCTCAAATAGGCGAATTGAAGTTTTTGATCATCCACCTTCAGTCGTTTGAGCACATCTTGTAAAATGCTGACGATGGACAAAGCATCTTGCTTGCATTGGTCAAAATCATGACAAAAAGTGCGCTGTTCAAAGCCATTCGAAGAGACTGTTGTTGACGCGTTGGAATGTGCTCGTTGACGTCGAATGACCACCATAAGATGCCAAGGAAGGCCTTTTTTGCCATACCACTCACTTTGTTTTTCTCGGTATTTAGCTTCGATCCATTTCATGGCCCAATCCATGATGATGTAGACGCTCGAGTCATCCAGCTGTTCGAGAGCATAATGGCGCGCACGGTCTTGATGCACAGATCGCAATTGGTGACGCTTCCAATTCAAAATGAGCTCCGAATTTCTGTCGAAATCTGTTTTGATCAGAGCAAGTTGATCGACGTTCATGTCTTCCTTATGTGTTTCGAGCAAGGCAACCATTTTTCTCAATGTATTATCTAATAACTGGCAATCGGTACACCTATAAGGAAGATATAAACATAGTTTTTTCTTTTTCTAACTCGATCAAGATCGCCTATCACAACATTGATAGTGATTAGCAAGAAGCCAATCCAATCAGACAATATGAACGTGTCGAAAGAGATAGGAAAGACTAACTGTTCATCATGCTGATGGTCACATGCTGAGCGTCAGCATGCATTCTTCAAATCGCTGAGACCGTAAGTCGAACAATGATCAGGCGCGCCACTATTTGTTGAAACGTGCATCTTGTAGCCAAGTTTGAGATAGTTTCGTGATTGATGCAAATCTTTCTTGAGTTGTGCGATATCATCTGATGACGCACCTAGAGAGTTTGTGAAAACAATCGTGTAGTCAGCTATCTCTCTCTTGAACCTACCGAACCCAACGAGCTGATCACACATGGCGGCCAAATCATCAAAAGCAGCTGATCCATCAGCTGCGATGTTGTCGAGACCAGATAGAGTTTTATGAATAGCAGCAGGACACTGATGAAGAATGCCAAAAAGAACCGTATCGTTAAGTGGAATGAACACACCGCTTGTTGTTGATTGACAATAGGCCTTGTATTCGGCGATGATGCGAGAATGGATCATATTTCGAATCATGTTCGGTACTACGATCTTTTCACCTGTTGATAGCTTGTAATTTCGTTCACCAAATGGAAGATCCACAAAGATGATTGGTGAAAGGATAAATTCAATAAAGTGCTCAATCTGATTAGTAGACAATCGCTGCATGGACAGGCGTTTCAAATCGGCTGGTGCTCCGCGACCTATTCAGATGCTCCATATATCAAACAAACGTAAATAAAGATTTTCCGATAGAATATGCGTGACGTCTGGCCACCTTGATTTGCGAAATAGTCACACCGGGAAAATGCTCTTTGATTACAAACGAATGTAGATCACCGGCGACGATAGCAAGAATCTGACGTCGAGTTGACCAATGCTTCGCTCGATTCCAGGCATCGGACAGTGATTTCATCACAATATCAAAATCTCTAAAAGAGGAACCATTTATATTCAAGAAACCTTCTATGGCATTTCTATTTGCTCCTAAGCCGTGATATATAGGAGTCTAATCAAGTGTATTCATCTGAAAATTTTAAATTTCAATCTTTCAGATCTGGAATTTACCATTGGTTTTCGACCGCAAAAGACACACTTTTGCTGAAAATATTGAGATCGTAAATGACGATTTGTTCATATACTTGATTCTCGGAAGGGTTAGACGACTCTTGCCTCGTTAGCTTTATCGGCAGTCGAAATAATTGATTTGTGGTTGAAATCAACAGCTACCAGCCGGACACACAACATTGGTCGGTAGACCCGTCGTGTATAAAAATAGGTACTTGAACGCTCATAATAACCAGACAAGCGTTCTTGTTCTACCTACCGAAACTTTTTTTCGATTTTCTTCTTTGTTCTTTTGATAGCCCGCTCAGTAAGAGCGATATGCACATCCTTGTAATCGACTGATGCGAAAATCTTAACAACATGCTGAAT